AAAATGTGGACCGCGTTGCACTTGAACTGCAATACACGAAGCAAGTCAAGTACAATACGTCACAACACAAAAAAAAATTTAAAAAACAACACAATAAATTAACATGACAAAATTCGGGTGTATCCGAATATTAAATATTTTAAGTAACGAGTATTTTGTTGAGACACAACGCTTTCAAGAAGAAATAAAACGCATTTAATTTACTATTACGGCTTAGAATTTTGCTGCATTTTAAATATAATGGGAGATAAGATAAGAGTTAGCCGCTGCGGCCTCGAATAAATTCCAGCCGAGAAACCCAATTTTCGACCACTTATACTCATTAATAAAGCATATTATCTTCCAAAGCGTCAATTGAAGGCCACGCCTGGGACCACACACGCGAGATAATACGCTCACTAAAAATTTCTTTCAATAAATTGATTGTTGCATTGGTTGTACGGCATGTAGCGCCGTCTTGTTGGAACCAAAGATCTTCCATCTCAACATCAACGCAACGGCGTCTAAAAAATAGATTAGCACCACTTCAAATGCGACAGTTTCACGCTTCGGCTTCAATTCTTGGACGAGTTGGATTTTGTAAGCTTGCAATCCCAGATCCTGCCTCAAAATTTTTCTTTATGTGGGTGGACACCGCTCCAATTTTTACGCGCGATGACGAGTACATATATTTATGTATAGTTAAAGATCAACCAAAAGGACGGTGTTGAGTTTTGGAACTAATCGGTTTTGTTAAAAAGAAAAACTAATAAAACAACAAATCAATAAATAAATGTGTTAGAGACATAAAATTTTACAACCAAAATGGTACAAGAGTGCTTAACAAAACCGAACCGACGTTTCCTTTAAAAAAAAATATTTAAAAACAAATTTCTACAAATTTCTATCAAAAAAGAAAATAATAATACTTTTGAAGAAAGATCGCAAATAGCTGGAGTTGTTGACTTTGTTAAGTATAAACAAAAGGTTGTGGACTTGGCTAAATGTAAACAAAAGGGGCATTGACCTCATAAAATGTAAAGAAAGGGGCTATTGTCCTCGGAAAAACTTAAACAGAAGGTCATTTAACCCCATATGTAAACATAGGTGGTTGACTTGGCTAAATGTAGACAAAGGTTGTGGAATTAAATTAATGTAAACAAAAGCGTCATTGGCCTCATAAAATGTAAACATGGGTTACCGATCTCATAAAATGTAAGCAAAGGGATCATTGAGCCCATATAATGTAAACAAAAGGGTCCTGGACCTCAAATATAAACAAAGGTTGTTGACTTGGCTAAATGTAAACAAAGGGATCCTTGACCTCATGAAATGTAAACAAAGGTTGTAGACTTGGCTAAATTTAACCAAAAGAGGCATTGACATTATAAAATTAAAGAAAAGAGTAGTTCGCCCTCAAAGTGTAAACAACACCTATAGGTATGTTCAACTTTTCCAAGAAACTGCCCATTACTCGAAACCGCCGATATCGGACCACTATAAGATATAGCTGGCCTACAAAGTATTAGAGCTTCGATGCTGCTGAAGTTATCGTTTTTTCTAGTTTAAAATAAAGTTGTGCTACATCTGAAGGTATATCTGTTGATCCTTGCAAGTAGCAAGTGTAAAAAATGTTCGGTTACAACCGAACTTAGCTCTTCCTAACTTGTTTGCATGCAATATCTACTCATAGATAATATTAAACAGTTCAGTGTTTGCTTTCGCTTATTAACAATAGAGTGGGAAGCTAAAGAAAGTCGTATTGCGTCGATTGCTTTACATAAGTATGAAAAAAGCGTATGTGAAATTTGTACGTCAACAATCGATAACAGAAAGAAAAGTATTCGTTCTCACGTGGTTGCAACCAAGTCAACCATAAAAACTATTCCCGAGCGTATTAGCAGTATTACCCTTAGAACACAGAAAATTATGTCAAGGGAAACGGAGATATCAACTAGAGCAATGTCAAAACTTATTCGAGATGTTTTCCACATGAAAGCCTGCTGTCGATCGACTGGTCATCTTCTGACAACTCACAAATAAAGCTCAACTCAGATGCAACCGACTTCTTTAGTGGCACGCGATCAATGACAATGAAAATATCCTTTTTACAGTTAAAAAAATGTTCACTGTTGAGAAGTAAAACGACAAAATCTACGCAGAAACTTCCAAAGACGCAGAAGATGTTACTTTAAGCGTTCAACGTCACCATCCAACAGCTGTAATGATTTGAAGGGAAGGCTCTTCATTCCTGTGAAATAGGAGGTTAAAACTGGGGCAAAAATTAACCAACAGGATGTTTTAGAAGCCGTGATAAAACAGCTAAGCAGTACGCTCTTCAATGGAGAGCATTGGATCTTCCAACAAGATTCTGCTCCAGCACACAAGACAAAAATCTCACAGCAGTAGCTTAAAAGCAATTTTTCCTAATTCAATAGCTACCGATGAATGGCCGTCTGGAAGTGCAGATTTGTATCCATTTAACTAAAGTTTGCGGTCAGACGTCGAGTTGGAGAACATTGCCTGTCGAATAGCCCACAGAAATTTGGTGAACCTCAAACAAACTTTGGTTAGAGCAGCGCCGTCAATACTTGCTCGCAACACACCTTGTGTGTGATTACTTTCCAATATATCATGCAGAGCTCTGCTAAAAACATATTGTATATGTATGTACGAGTATGTATGGCTGTGTGTACGCTTTTCAGCGCCTTTAAATTAAAAAAAAGGTGCGCGAAAGTTTACAAAGAAAGGTCACATTTATTTCATTTTAAATCACTCATATAAACATATATGTAGGTATATGTAAGAATAAGTGTACATATTTGATAGGCCTATTCATACAGATACGTACATATGTATATCTAAACACAACTTAGCACACACTAATTTGATTGGAACTAATTTGATTTGAATGTCAATTGGCCTTGGATCCCCATTGACGATTTTTCTAGTAATTGCTCAGGTCAATGTGTACAGACAGTAATGTGACTAATATAATGTTGATAACTCGGAACTAAAAATAAGTTTAAAAAAAACTGCAAATACGAGGGTGGTTCAATAATTCTTTAGCCAACAAAATAAAAACGAAAAATTTCCAAAAGTGACGTTTTATTGCTTTACATAGTCTCATTTTGGCGCGATACACTTAACCCAGCAACTCTCCAACTACTCTAACCTGAAAAATACGTTTTCTAGAAGCCTTAAAAGTAGGTCTTCGTGACGGTATGTACACACGGTGCTTGTATGCACACTATTTTACTTGTGAAGGGTATCGATGTGTTATGCTTATAAAAAATCCGCTACAAAGTGAATATGTTAAATTACATAATTTGCTAGCTATCAGAAATGTTCACAAAAAAATTTTTGGTCATTTGCTATTGTTGAAAGCTTCTCTCTAATGTAAGCGGTTTCAAAGCGGTATATTATACCTATATAGGTGCGTATATTCAAGCTAATGAAAGCGAAATTCTGTCAGTATTTAATATGAAAAGCAGGTACATATGCATGTATGTACAGTGTGTTTGCTTACAAATAGCATAACAAGCTGAGCGTCTGTTCAACGACAATTTAGTCACGCCGTCATTGGAACTTATGTATGTATGTACGTCTACCTCCTCACAAGCTTACGTATACACATTTATGTGTATTTATGTTGTAAATATGTCTAAATGATTGTATGCCTTCAGCACCTCCGGTCATCCGGTACATCAAAAGGCACCATTTCTAACTTTCTTCGTACGAAATCGTAAAAGAAATGTGAATGCGCTTTTTCTCTTTTTCGACTGCCACGCTTTGGTAGCTACATACATACATATGTATTTTTATTTTAGCGTATTGCACAAGTTGTTGTAGCGTGTTTTTTACTTTTGTATTTCAATTAAATAAGACAATATTGTTTAAAAAAATTTTTCATTTGACATTCCAATACTGACTTTCGTATTCTCTGAACTTAATTTGCATAATAAATTAAATTTTTTCAATTTTTATAACGACCCAAAGCGTTAGCAGATCGGTTATTATGTGTGTGTTTGCATACAAGCTTTGCTTGGCGGTTTCAAAAAAAATGTCAGAGACGCTTACAATATTATAAATATGCACATACACATATGACGAGTGACTTGGCGCTAGCGTTGGCGTTACTAGCGCTGGAATAAATGATTAACTCTAAGCACATATTTAAAATATTTATCTACTAAAAACTGTTATATACTACATATTTGTGGGTATATTATTTTTTATGTGTTTCGCAAAAGCGTTCTTTTACTTATATTATAGCGTATTTATGTGTTTCGATTTGTTGCACTTCACACGCAAACAAAAAGCAGTATGAAAAGAAAATATACTTAACAATTACTTTAATAAACGCGCTAGCAAAACTACCTGCTTTCTTTGAGTTGTGACTGTTTACAAAACATGTAAGTATATAATATACAACTGTGTAATACTTTAAATACGTTTTACTATAAGCGTAATTAACGTTTGAGCAGCCGCGTCCGTTCCGTTTAAACCGACTACTTCAACGTTACAAATTGAACTCCGACCAGGCGTACACGCGCCAAAGCCAAGCCGGTCAGGGTACGCAAAAAGCCCCCTATACACATGAAACAAGTAAATATTCAACAAGCTTGCCCCACTGAGTGAACGCGCAAACATACAAACATGAGCCGGCACCAAAGCAATGTAATGCATAAAGCACCCACAAAATATGAGAGTTTTCGAAAGACGGCCAATTCACAAAAAACAAGTTGGGAAGGAAAGCAAACAAAGCGTACGTACATACATATATAAGCAGTACTTTGTAGACACAATTATATATGAGCTTTTACTTTGCGTTGAATACATGTTGGAAATACGCAAGTTGTGTTAAACGCAATTTTTGCGACATTTTACATATATTTATTTATTTTACATACATAAAAACATACCTTAAAATTTTTTATTGTTTTCAAAATGAAATGAAAATGAAAATATCAAAAAGTATTAATGCAAAGCATAAGTTTATCAAACGATCAAATTTCTTTAAATAAATTTATCAATGACTGGTAACGCCCGCAACATCTATTACTGTCTTTTGCGAACAGCTGTTTGTCAAATACTGCTGTCACTTTTAACCTGCTATTCGTCTCTTGTTTCTATAAATCGAACGAAATTTTCTTGTGTGTTGTTAAAATTGATCAAAAACAGGAGAGATGGCAGGACGTGAAGCTGTAAGAAAAGCTGTGCAACAGGTGCGTCCCATCTTGTCGTTGGACCGTGAGGAGGCGCGCAAACGTGCACTCAATCTCTACAAAGCCTGGTATCGGCAAATTCCTTATATTGGTAAGAGCGTTAAAGTTGTCAAAATGTTTGTTATGTCATCGGCCGCTCCAAGCGTTGTGATGGTGATCACAAACATCAAGCGCTAGAACAATAATGCTCCGTAATTTAAGCAGTACAAGGAAAAAATTAAATATACATATTTTTTGTTTCATATGGCAGTCATGGATTATGACATCCCCAAAACGGTGGAACAGTGCCGCGCTAAACTGCGTGAAGAATTCGAAAGGCATCGTAATGTGACTGATGTGCGCGTCGTTGATATGCTTGTCATAAAGGTATGTGACTTTAAATTAGTAAACGATTGTGCACTGCGCATAGGTAAACCGTAGTTATAATTGAAATTCATTAGTATTTAGTAGTTATTTTCTGTTAGCGGTAGAAAAAATTCTTCTCCGAATGTTTTTGGTTTATGCTGCCGTTTTGACAACATTTGCTCTATATAAATCCATATCCAATATAAAATATATATACATATATAAATAGTGGCGTGACGAGCTGAGTCGATTTAGACTTATCAGTCTTCCTGTATATACGCGAACTAGTCCCTCAGTTTTTGAAAATTTGCACACGTCCTTATCTCTTCAACAAACTGTTCATTAGTCGTAACCGCCGCTATCGGCCTATTGTAGCATATAGTGGCCTCACAAAATGATCAAAATCAAGTCCTTGCATGGAGAAATTTTTGATGTGACGAGATATCTTAACGAAATTTGGCATGGATTATTGTCCAAAGCAACAATATACTCCTCCAAGATTCTTCTGATCACTATAGCATATAGTTGCCATACAAACGACCGATCAATATTAAATTTTAGTACGGAAAACTTTTTTTTTTATTTGTGAAGGGCTCCAAAATGTTAAGTATTTTTTTTCAATTTGAAGTGTGCAAACGGCAATTCTCAATATTGCTATTTAATGTACAACGTCAACCTAATATAGTAATAGCTTTTATCTACTTTGGCAATACCGAAGCATTTGTTGTTCTTTCATTATGTTGAGAGCGCGCTCTCTTCTCACTTATTATCAGAATGGCATTTAGCCGTTAATAATTATGTAGCTGCGGTGTCCGAGTGGTTAAGGAGATGGACTTGAAATCCATTGGGTTCTACCCGCACAGGTTCGAATCCTGTCCGCAGCGTTCCATTTTTTTTATTTTTTAGATGATTGATTTTTATTTAAAACAAAAAAAGAATTTAATTTAATTTTGCTTTAGAGTTGCATTTAATTAAAAGCCTATTTAAATTATGAAATGTTGAACTAAGTACCATATTCTTTTTTTTTACAGGGTCAAATGGAGCTGAAGGAGACAGTAGAAATTTGGAAGCAAAAGGGACACATAATGCGTTACTGGAAGGAAAGCCAAGATCCCAAACCCACTGACTTCTTGTCGAAATTCTTGCAAGGTGTGAATTAGTGAAATCGTTTAGTTAATCTATTAAAATATATGATACAATTTCAAACACGATGTTGTCAGAATTTGGCATAATTACTATATAAATGTTGGACGACAACTTAGTAATTTAAAATAAAATGCGAAATTTAACAAACATAATTTTTTTTTTCTAATTTTTGTATATATTATACTCGAGCGCATAATTGAAACTTGTTAATAACTATAAAATTTCTTGTTATTAAGCGAGCAAGTTCATTAGAACACCGCTCACAGTCAATTTATGCACATTCACTAGCTTCAAAATGATTTAGATTAATATAAAAAACTTATTACCGATATTATTTTCACTTATTTCATAAATAGAAATATTTAAATTTATTTCAAATAAAAACAAAAAGGTAATGTTTACATTATTAAAAATTAAAAGTATGAAGTGTTTGTAGTGGCGTAAAAACACGCAAAGTGTACCCTCCATTTTTCATTTGATCAACGAATTTGAATGTGAGTATTTTTTCATAAACTAGTCACCATGAACAAGTAATCCCCCGCTCAGTTTTTTTAAATTTTAATTTTAACAATAAATTTTTTTAATTGAAATATTTACTACTTTTAGTTAAAAAATTAATAATTACAAAACCATTGGAACAATATGAAAAAAAAATTTTAATTCACACATATTTTTTCAAAATACAAGTGTTGAACTATAACTATTAAAAATTTCATTAAAAAGTCACCAATTGTCTTTTAATTATTAATTTTTTAATTAAAAGTAGGAAAAATTTCCAATTAAAAAAAAATTATTGTTAAAATTAAAGTGAAAAAAAGTTGAGCGGGGGATTACTTGTTCATGATGACTACTTTATGAAAAAATACTCATGTTCAAATTCGATGATCAAGTGGAAAATGGGTGGTCCACTTGACGTTTTTTACTCAGTATCCTCTACGTATGAAATCACCAAATAATATCATTGATATCTGTTAAGTATATAAAAAGTAGAAGTCATATATTGTTATTTAAAGTTTCGTTGGCAAAATGTACTAACCATGATCATGTGGATATATTCCGAATACATCGTAAACGAAATTGATGTCATCTTGATCCATATCCGAATCCGCAAAATCAAAATCATCATCAGCATCATCATCCGTTGGATCGTCATCCTCGTCAATCCAATGGTCTCCATCCAAGATATTATAAATGTCTACGCCTTCTTCTAAGCCTAGATCCTGATTTGAGGCGAGAAATATAACTTTAACCAAAGCCTGCGCTGCAGCTTCTTTATATTCTCCGCACTGTAAGAAAAAAATTATAACAACAACCAAATCAGAGATGTAAATTTTCGTAAATTTTAATACTTACCTCAGATACACTATAGTAATCCATTGATGTACCATACACTACAAGCAGTAATGGTTTTTTGCGTTGGTCTGTAGCTTTTAAAATACGTATTGTTTCGATAAGAAATTCAATGGTTATTTTTTTGCAAAACTGTATGTTTAAAAGACGTAGTTTTTGGCAGCTTTTCACCAGCCTTAAAAGTGCGCGATTTGTTATATTGCTGCAGCCTTTGATTGTCAACTCTTCGAGTTGTTGCAATTTACAAAATATGTGGAGCGCGTCATCGTTCACTGCCGAATTGTTGGCGACAAACAGTACTTTCAACTGTCTCAACTGTGATATTAAATTAACATGCTCGGTACTAAGTGAATTTTTGGCAACAATTTTTAAAACCTCCAATTGATCAGCTTTGTGGGCGACAAGTTCAGCCAACAGACTCTTCTGTGATGTGCCGTAGTAGGAGTAATAAAGTAATTCCAGTTTTTTTAGTCGTGGCAATAATGCGACACGCTCATACGGGAATTCCGTGCACGACAGTTTTAGAATTTCCAATTCTTTGCAATGTTTAATCATAACGTGGAAAATTGTGGGCGATAGCCGTTCACAACGGCGAATGTCCAGAGATTTCAAGTTTGGCAGTGATTCGCAAATATTAATCAAATGTGTAGTTTGTATATTACAACAACCGTATAAGTTTAGTGTCTTCAGCTGTACCAATTTGTTTATGAATTTACCTACAATCGGTTAGTTCAAATATATTACTAAAATATAAACGTAATTCTTAATTGTAATTATGTATATATTACCTGTCAACTCATAATTTTCCGTCAGTTCGAGAGTTTCTAAATGTTTTAAATGTGTCATGGTATGTATGGAGCTGTCACTTAAATAACAGTCACGTAGCGTCAATGCGTGCAAAAGTGGAAAACGGTGCAATAGCTTCTTCAGACATTCTGCACGCATTTTACTTTCATCCAGTTTAATAATTTTTAGCTCAGTGCAAAATGTTCTGATAAATTCAATAATTCGCTCACGACTTTTATACGGAACCACGCCTAATATGCTTTCAATATTTCCGCCAGCAAAACGAAAGAAATCACGTATCTCCCATAACGTCATGCCAGACATTTTATCCAGATCGAAGTTTTTGTATTCGCGTTTGCAATATATTTGGAAAACATACTGGAAGCGCTTGCAAACACGTGCAAAACGTACTTGATCTTTTAACTCCAACAAACCGAAAATTATTTCTAAGCAATCATCATTCAACGAAAGAATATTTATGCCCTCTGTCGGTAATGATACAAAACTAGGCTGAATCCAGGTATTGCGTACCTTGACACTACATGCTTTTTCTGCATTGGGCTGATTCCAGCTATCACCTGCCTTAACACCGATACGCAAACCATGCAAGCGCTGATTATTCTTGAGCGCGCTAAAACGGGAAAGAATTTACATATAGTGAATCTTTTAAGAGATAAATTCCATTATTTCACCAGCAGGCACTTTCCGGTTCAGAAAAGTTCACAAACCCCACTTTAAGCGCTGCACGCCGATTCCTTTTTTTGTCTGCGACAAGTTTTACATCAAGCACATTACCGAAATCTGAGAAATAATCGCGTACATTCTTTTCTGTCAACTAAAGATATAACATATTTTAATAATTAATTTAGCGAACACTTATCTACGTCCAAATTATATTAAGGTATACATCTACACTAAATACTGCAACTTACCTGTTTTGGTATGCTGTATACAAATATATTGTAAATGAGAACATTGTCTTCTGTATAAGCTTTATTATGTTTGATAAAGAAATTTTGATTGTCTGCATCTTCTGCAACCGCAAAATTTTCATCTGAAGACATCTTAAATGAAGCGCTGGAGTACTCGCGTAATTCTAAAATATCAAAACGGAAATACTGTAGCGATAGTAATAGTAGATAAACGTACGAAAACTGAATAAACTATTTCGAAATGTTTACCTCCTTAAATACTAACGGCAGCGGCAGTGGCAGCAGCAACAGCAGCACCTGGATTATCCTTTCTCACCTTTCAATTTCTTTTTCAAAAAATAATACATTCACCTATAAATTTTTATCTAAATAAGTGACAGTTCACAATAATAGTTTACTTACTTGCATCAGCTGTTTGCTTTGGCGGATCCTTGGAATTTACCTACCTTTAATTTTAATAACAAAAAAGTATTGTCTTCCTCCGCAAAGATGAAAATCTTTTTGTATATAATGAAAATTAAAAGTTTTCAGCACCACTTTGTTGTTAAATATACAAAATTACATTGTTATTACACAATTTAAAAAGAAAAATCATTTCGATTTTTAATTAACAATAATTGATTGTAATATACATACATTATTGTGAGATTTAAACAATTTTTTGCAAGTTGTTTTTGCTGTGTCCTAAAAATGTTCTGGAGTTCACTGTAGGAATATTTTATAAGCAATACAGATAGGTAATTACTGATTGTGAAATACAATCAAAACAAAATGTTACGTTAAGCTCATGTAGTCAATAAAATTATTGGTAAAATATTTCACAACAAAAAATTGTTCAAGTAAATTGTTCGGTACAAAGTTGGGACATAAATTAAAAAAGAATATGGAAAATGCGAAATCCTGAATTATATGCAATACTGTAACATTAAACAGAGAATGTAGATTATTATATATATTTTACATTCTCTGCATTAAATATAATACCTGATATAAGTAAACCATGATATAATTTAAGAAAATTTTTAATATTGGTGTCAAGCTATTTTTATATTATTTATATAGAATATTCTCAAACACATTTTTTTGTAAATGTTCAAAATACTTAATAATATAAAATTAATTGAGAAATTTAACTAATTTTTTTGTATACATAGATACATACATTTTTATATTCGGGTATAAATGAGTGGATTGTTCAAAATGGTTTTCGTGAGATATTTAGAATTTTAATAAGGATCGGGCAACACCTTTATCCAAGTTTTTTCTTCGTATTCTCTATCTTATAATTCATTTCTGGTTGTTGTTATTTTTATTTATTTATGTTTAACATTACGCTACTTTAAATTTCTATTAATTGTTATAAATCTCGGAAGACATTTGTGTAGGGTCTTCTTTTCTCTATTTTAAAATTCTATCTGCTTGTAACTTTGACTATTTAGCATTTGGGTGTATCGTGCTAACATTTTCAGACATTCTGTTCGCTTGTTATTTTCATTCAGTTTTAGACGCAATTTTCCACAAAAGGTTGTTATAAATTCAACAATTCGTAAGCGATTTTTATACGGCAGTCTGCCTAATATTCTTTCAATATTTCCGCCAGCAAAACGAAAAAAATCACGTATCTCCCATAACGTCATGCCAGACAATTTACCCAGATCGAAGTATTTGAATTCGCGTTTGCAAAGCATTTGGAAAATGTCGTGGAAGCGCTTGCATACACGCGCAAAACGCACTTTATTTTTTAACTCCAACAAATCAAATACTATTTCTAAGCAATCATCATTCAACGATAGTATATTTGTGCCATTTGTCGATAATATTGCAATAGTGGGCTGGAACCAGCTATCGTATAACATAACACTACATGCTCTTTCCGAATTGGGCTGTTTCCAGCTATCCGCTGCTTTAACACCGATTCGTACGCCTTGCAAACGATGATTACATTTTTTCAGCACGCTAAAAATAGAGAATGTTTACATATAGTGAAGCATTTAAAAGATTAATTGTATTATTCTACCTGCAGGCACTTTCCGGTTCAGAATAGTTCACAAACCACACTTTGGGCGCTTCACGTCGTTCGTCAGCGACAAGTTTTACGTCAAACAAATTACCAAAGCTTGAGAAATAATCTCGTAAATCGTTTTCCGTGAACTGAAGATATAGAATATTAATAAATAATTAAATACTTACAGTTATCTACACTAACTACTGCCACTTACCTTTTTTGGAATGCTGTATACAAATATATTGTAAACGAGAACATTGTCTTCTGTATATGCTTTACTTTCTTTGATAAAGTAATTTAGATTGTCTACTATTTCTGCAACATTAAAATGTTCAATACAGTGGGCTGAAGACATCACAAATGAATCGCACGAGTACCCACGTAATTCTAAAATATCAAAAACGGACATATTTAATAGATAGTGATAGTAGATAGATGGTTAAAAACTAAATGAATTATTTTGAAAAATTCCTTTAAATATTAACTGCAACAACAGCACCTGGATTATGCTTTCTCACCTTGTAAATTCTTTTCTTAAAAATAACAACATATTTATGTTTAAATCTGTACCTGTTCATCGTCATAGTTCACAATAGTCGCCACTTCCCCACAAAAACTGTTTCCTTTATTTAACGTTGCATTTCCACGGGTAATATAGTTATTGGTAACAAACTGCCAAGTCTATTACAATTAAGATTTACAATATTTTTGTATGGGCATTTGTTATCTTGACATAATCAGATATATAGGAAGCGTGTCAAAATAGGAGTATTATGCTCTTGAACCGAAATATTATTGTAATAAAACATTTTTCCATTAAACATTTTGTACTAAATTCAATAATAAAATATGTATACAGATATATACAAATACCGACAATTATCATTAAAGTAGTAAATAAACGTTACATATTTACTTACTTAATTATTAGTTTCTATATGTTGTTATAACTTCTGCTTAGAATCTCACTCTGTAGTTCAATTTACACAACAAAAAATAAAAATATCAGACTTCGTAATATTGTCTTTTAATTTTTTTGTAGGAATGAAACAGAGCTGGAAAACCTCCGAACGACAGTAGATTGCCAGCAATAGTTGTCAAGATAATTATTAGGACAACTATTGCCAAACACAAGCAAAATAAGGTCCAGACAACATGTATTGTCTACAGAGAATGTTTATGATGATATTACGATATAAATTCTCTGGTTTCTGTCGAAAGACCCCGTTAGAATCTTTATCGAGGAAGTCATGATGTGAGACTCTTAAGGCCCATTCACATACAATTTTTCTCGCTTTACGTGACTGTTCATACCGAACTAACGAAGAGCAGAGAACAAAGGGTATGTCGCAATGAACGTTTTGCTTGTAATAAAAATTGCGTTGGTTTCTTGGCAAAGCATAAAAAGATAAGAGTTGCTCAACATTTTGCTTGGCTTCGCGTCGAAAACTTTTTATGTGGACGTTCCCATAAAAAAGCGTACATCGAAGCAAAAGTTCTATGTAAATTGGCCATTATTTTCCCTTTTTTTGTCGGAAACGCGTTCGGTAACAGCGGTTGGTATTGTTGAAGATCAGGGAACCTTTATCAGCTTAAAAAGATGTTTCTTCTTAGCCTTACATTAAACTAACAAAAACCTATGCTGTCTTCTATCACAAAGGTACAAACGTGTTTATTTTTTGTTTACATAATGCTAAATTGAGATATAATTTTAAATATTTTGTTGTTGTCGAGATCGCCCTCTTAATATTTTACAGGCAATTCAAACAAAATAATATTTAAGGTAACAACTGATTATGAAAGAAGCGTTCACACAATACAATACTAAATTCATTTCATCATTAAAATATAGATGTTTCGTCAAGGTCAAGCAGCCGATAAATTCCTGCTAAATGGTTCTGGGCTCTCATTTAAATAAAACAAAATTATGAAGGACGATTGTTGTAATTACAAAAACAATATATCGATGCGCATACCTGCGTTCATATGCAATTGTATGCCATACAAATTTATAAAAATCTCTTAATTTTTCGTATTTAAATTGTCATGATTGAAATCAATAATGAGAAATTGTAATTGTATACTTTTTATCTATACTTCATGGATTTTCCGCATTAGTTTTGTTCCTATTCATTTTCTACTTCGAACCGGTTTGTAGTTCAAATTTGGAAATAAAAATAGTATTTTTTTTGTAACGGCTGACAATTTTTATAATTAGCTAAAAATGCAAGACAGAAACGGTAAGATTTATAACATATAATTCATTTGTGATTTAATTCCAAACTTATGCTTTTAGCTTATGAATGCCACAGTTCTAAAAGTGAGCGGCATACCGTTGTATACACAGATGAAAATGTACCAGTTTATAAATTGACAATTGTGAAGCTGCCTAAAAACGTAACTTTATTATTATTATATTGTTGCAATTCTGTGGCATTTATCGAAATCATTTCTTTCACATTAAAAATAATTACCAAATATATAATCCTTAGCTTAAATCGGTAAGGATAAAGCAACATTTTTCTAAATTTGGTCAAATTATAAATGTGGAGATATTGTATGGTAAAACTCGATCCATTCCAGCGCAATGCATTATACATTATCAAAATGCGAAAGACGCAGGCGCGTGAGCAAATCTATTCTGTTTTTTTGCAAGAATATTGCGGTTAACCATAAATTTTCAGTGCTTTAAAACAGAAATATCACACAATCAACCACCAACGTGTTAGAGTGCAACCATGTCCAAGTTGGGAACAGCCGTATTTAATGGAACATTTATTTAAGTCCAACAACAATGTGAATTTACTTATGCTGAACGATTACTGTTTAGAAATGATTTTTCAACACCTTGACTTGCGCCAGCAACTACGTCTATCGTTATGCCATCCACGATTGGAAAATATCTTCACATATATGATTTGTCCACGATTACAACGAAATTGTTATTTGGAAGTACTTTTACAATTTTCAACATGGGAGTTGCGTCAGTTTCTTAAAACTGCAGGTATATATATGGAGCGATTTGTAATTGCAAAAGAATACCCTAGCTTTAGGTCTAGAATGAGTATATGTGCCTTATTGCAAGAATGTGGTTTGCGTATTAATAGCCTACATCTTATCGCATGGATGCCCTGGCAATATAGTGCTTTCCTTGTTTCGTTACAACTAAGTGCTATAAATGAACTGGAATTGTACAATTGCAATTTAACAGATATAGATTTGCAATGTTTGCTTAAATTACGTAATCTCAAAGTACTCGGTTTAGCCGGTAATTATCACATACAGGGCACACATTTGAAGTATTTCCGAAATTTGGAAAGATTGAGTTTGTGCGGTTGTGAAGAAATTACCAACGACGCACTTTCTCAGTGCTGTCGGCATTTACAGTTAAGTTTCTTAGATATACGTTTGGGGAATAGCATTCTTACGGAAACAGTAGTAGAATTGTGCAAAACTTTGGATACATTAAAATTGACACGCTTCACTGAAACTATTGCCAAATTACCAAAATTAAGGTCATTGGAGGTACACCACACTAACTCGTCGGTGAATACTTACATTTAAAGACTCATAATATAATAAATAATATTTTTTCCCATTATTGGCCAGATTACAACCAGTTTTTATAATGCTCTTGTCGAATATCATGCTGATAATTTACTTGAGTTAAAATTGACTGGTGAAACATACCTAATGCTTCCGACTGTGGCTAGGATTGTACGTTTGCACAAATTACGTACCCTATGGTTAGGAGATCACATATACAACGGATCAAAACAAGTTGTCCAACTTGTCACAAAGCTGAGTGATTTGGAAGAGATCAGCTTACAGTATTCCCTACGAATAAGAGATCAACATTTACTGCCGCTCATAATTAAATGTACCAAATTGAAACGTATCAATTTACGTATGTGTCGTTATATCACAACTAATTTTATTTGGAGCACATTAGAAATACTATCACAGCGTGTAACTGCTGCTCAGCCACTCATTATTTTAGTTTACGGTACATGCATTAATGCTGATATTTTACGGGTAATTATATACACAATTCTAAAAAATCTTGTTACTAAAGTTTACTATATTTTATATTCGTATTGTTTCCAAGTCTTCAGGCTATCATAAAAACCGCCATTTATTGAAATTATTGTTCCATGGTGATAAATCGCTAATGGGTCTTGTTAATGAAGGCAGTCCGTTTGACATTAACGATTCTGAGTTGAATCGCACTACCATTGATACAATTGATGTTAAAATTATGAATGATTCATATAGTGAAACCGAAAATGAGGACGGAGAGAACAGTCGCTATAACAACAACAACGACTCTGCAAGATATTATGATTTAGCATGAATAAAATAAACACTTGGATGCTTTTTTTTTATTGGTATTGATTTTTTTTTATACTTTTCATCTCGTTTTTTTTCTGTCGAAAATGAATGAATATATATGTATTATTTTCTGGAAATAAAATTATATTTATTATTATACTGATGTAGGATGTTCTTTTATATTTAGATGCATATAATTTCCAAGAACGATAGTTGTCAAAGTAAATACATATCCTCAGCGCTGTGTTGTATTCGCATTAACTCGTCCTTGAAGCCAATGTTATCCCTAATGGTGGGTGCTACATATACATACATACATATATGGTTCGCAGCTTTTCAGTTAACCATGTGTATGTTAATCACAATGTAACTTTGTTTTAAACGAGACGATAAGGAACTTAGTATTGGACAAATATGTCAAATAGTAAGACCCCTGTACATCAAATGCCACAAAATACGACGAGTTCACTAATCCTGTGCTATATTCAAATATTTTATTTCCAAAATTTTATTTATGACAATAATAATTTTTAACTAAAAAACTACTTTGTTTTGAATGAAATACTGAAAGTTACCTTTTACCTTACACTCCGTATATTTTAAGTTTCACCATAATCAGATCTGATATTTCGTAAATCTATTACTATAAATATTTCGTATAGATACAGATTTGACAGTGTTTCGGTGGTCGTGGCCACTGGGTAACAATTTAAAAATATGGAAGTTGGCAACCATTTTTTGACATGATTGTTCTTTTCCTTTTTCGCATCTTCTCTATTCACTTATTTGACAGTTAATGAATTCTCAAAGTGGAAAAAAAAGAGTTGTGAAAATTGTTAATTTGTGCGTCTTTTTTATACTATGCAAAACAATATTTTATTCGTTTTGGATTTACGAGTAATTTTCTGAATTTTATCGGTTTCTTAAGAAGTTGTCGAAATTATAATTGAATTAGGGAAACAGTATAGTAGAATCTGAACCATAGGTTTGACGCCATAAAATGGACGCTGACACCGTGTTGGAAAGAACGGCGCCAAGCGATTACAGGCTCGTTTGTAGAACGTGCCTTGCTTCCGATGCCGAATTTTACAAACTCGATTCACCTATATTCTTAGAAGATGACGAAACGGACGAAAAGCCAGCCAGCTTTATGGAATGCCTGCGTTACTGTACACGTTTAGGCGATAACGATGACAGTGAAAAATTGGATTTTCCAATTTACATATGTACTGAATGTAGTACATCCCTGCAAGTGTCCTACAATTTTATACGTAATGCACTTGAAGCGCATGAAATTTTACGTCAAAAATTGAGTGAAAATACTGATCTGCAATTGAAAAAACACAAAGTTCAACGTAAGAATGGTATTGTGGATGAAGATGGGCGCAAAAGCGCGGGGTTAGAAGACGGTGCGGTAAGTAAAAATAAATATGCGAAATATACTAAAGTGTATTAATTTGTTCTTTGCTTATTTTAGGAGTCGGAAGCGACAAAAATGCGCTTTCGGTGTAAAATATGCAACGAAAAAGTCGAAACAAAGAAAACATTGAAAGAACACATTAAATTGCATTTAGGTAACTAATTTGTCATAAAAACTAAATCGAATGGCATTACTAATATGTTATATTGCTACAGATATAATTTCTTATTGCTGTGAGCTGTGTAGTTTCGAATGCAAGAAACGAACTTTGCTATTTGATCATTATAAATTGGCGCATAACACGCAACCAACACGGGATCAGTTAAAACCAAAAACCAAACAGCCTGTAAAAAAAGAACAAGAAATCGATAGCGAAGATCCAATTACACAAGAAATGGAGAAAATACACAATACACAAGTAAACGAAGATTATTCGAATCATACAAAATTCGCAGCACCGGACCAACAAGAAGAATTAGATATGAAGTTATTTCTAACACCAGCCAGCAGTAATGGATCAGCGGCAGCGGCATATGTAGAAGCGGCCGCAGCTGCAACCGCTGTTGATGTCCACGATGAATTGCCCGAGCATAGACCTAGCATAACGAAGGATTTGCAGCAGTACGGCACAGATCAATTCAATATAACCGCAAATGAATTAAGCGTGGGAAATGAATTTATCGTTATGGCGGATGGTACGGTAGAGGAAGTGATGGGCAACGGTACATGTTTTAATGGAAGGATAAACTTAAAAGCAATATTTGTAACAATTTTACTTATTTCAGGTGTTGTCATCGAATACATTAATGCTGCGGAGGATGGTGTCACATTGGAAAACGGGTTGGTCTTGGATAATATAATGCAAGTGCAACAAACAAGCGATGCTGAGCAGACGGTCACTATGGATATGGATGTTGATGATATTATAATAGAAGAAAGTGTTGGTAATGATTTATCTATCTCCAGCCTTGCGTCTATTTCGATGGGACCAGAGACCACAGTGCAAAGTAAGGGAATTGTTTTCAGCTAAAATTATAAACTAAAATAAATATACTTTCGCAGCACTACAAAATATTGAAGATGAATTGCCGCCACCCTCAATAATAACTGTAAATAGTTTAGTTACTGCAAAGCGTATTAAGTGTAAGATTTGCACCAGTAACTTTCAGACACAAGATCAACTTAAAACTCACATGCTATCGCATAATGGTTAGTACTTCAGAACCACTTATTGAACGCTACTTTTAATAATGCCTTCATAACGGTATTCTTATTTGCAGAAATACCGCATTTCTTTTGCGATCAGTGTACGTTTTATACATTCTTTAAGATTGATTTAACACAACATTACAAAACCAAACACAAGCTGCAGCCGACACAAAAACAACTGCAACCGAAAAATAAAGTGCGAACCAATGACAAATTTAGCGATCTTAAACATATATACGCGTGCGATTTGTGTCTTTTCGAAACACGTATAAAGTCGCACTTACGCCGCCATTATTTGAGTCAGCATCAAGAAGAGGCGACCGAAGTGCAATTACGACCGACAATCGGTATAACCTCATTTTATATATATATATATTTTTTTTTTTTGCATATATACTTAATTAATCACATTCATGTATGTGTTAATATTTTAGATGAATCAGCTGCTTTAACAGCACCGGATATGACACCGCCAGAAACACTACCAAAACAGCGTGGTGGTAAAGCGTTGCGCCCAGATTATCCCAAAGGTTTAAATTGCAAAAAATGTTCAAAAACATTTTATTGGCGTGAGAAACTCAAAGATCACTATAGGCAACACGGTTTGGAAGAGGGCAATGGCATTGGAGCAGCTACAACCGATTCAATACAGATGTCTGCGCCGGGTACAAGTTTACTAAAACACAATACATTTCAATACCACTTGCCTCAACATGATAATAATAATGTAAACACCATAATCGATGCAACAAATATCGGTCACAACAACAGTTATAACAGCACTGTTGATGCCAATGTAATTGATGCACAAGCAATTGTCGACGCAGCTGTGGCGGAAGCTCAAGCCGCTTCTATGCAAATGAACTTGCAAATGAATCAGCCAGCACCGGACATTATAATGGATATACCAGTAGCGACGACCACAATTTCCACCACCACCACGATGCCGTTAGATTCAACGGTTAATGCAAGCGATGTAAATAGCATGCAACAGCAAGCTGTAACAGTGATGTCCGGCTATGCTTGTCCACAAATACCATCGGATGCTATACCGCAAGTGGTTGAAACGGATACAACCATAGATAATAGCGAATTAGATTTTGTTTTTAACGATGCACTTTTCGAAGATTTCGAAGAAGACGAAAATGAGGATGAAGAGAATGAAGAGGATGATGGCACGGACTTTCAAGATTTGCTGCTAACAAGTGATGACGACTTTGACGATATGTTACAGGATCAGCAGCAGCAACAGCATGATGCTGGCGGGGAGGCTGGTAGTGCCGCAGCGGTGAACAGCAGCAATTATCAACCATATTGTGTGCACTGCAATAAAAAGTTTTTAAGTCAATATCAATTTGAAAATCACATGTTCGTGCATCGTGGTAGGTCGAAAATTTCCGAATTTTTCACAAATTATATATATATTACATTTAAGTACCTATTTCACATATTTGGCCAAATTAATTTTGTAAATTTCGTTTTCGTGTTCAGGTTTAGCTCCATACCGCTGTGAAATGTGCACTAATTTGTATAATACGAAGCGTGCACTGATTCGCCACTATCGCGCGGTGCATAAACGAATTCCAACGAGGGATATGATTCAAGCTAAGGGAGACAAAGGTAAAATTGTTAATAATATTGAAATTTTAAAACAACAAAAAAAAAATCTTATATTATATAATGAAATTTATTTTGCAGTTGTAGTGGATCACACGCCGATTGAACATTTAAATCTGATTGAACAAAAAGGTAGGTTGGCTTATAAAATTTTTATGGTTTAAGTATTATAATAAATTCGCCTATAATATAAAATGTACATATAACTATTATTTCTTTGTTTTGTTTGCTAAAGTTGACAATTTAATTTTTGTTTTAAATGTAAGTTTCATATTTTTTTATTTTTTTTTAATGTAAGTTTCATAATTTTTTATTTATTTTTTAATGTAAGTTTCATAATTTTATTTTCTTTAAAATACAAATTTTATAATTTTATTTCTAAATACAAACTTCATAATTTTATTTTCTTAAAAATACAAATTTCATAATTTTATTTTTTTTTTTTATATACAAATTTCATAATTTTATTTTTTTAAATCCAAAGTCATAATTTTATTTTTTTTATATACAAATTTCATAATTTTATTTTTTTTATATACAAATTTCATAATTTTATTTTCCAGCGGTGACTTTAATGTGTGCAAAATGTCCTTACGAATCGGTTGAATTGCAAGTAATGCAAATGCATTTGAACACCATACATGGCCTTGTTGATGGTAAGATATAATTTTTGAAAACTTGAATTTTTTGTTCATAAGTATACCTATATTAGTACTACTAATACTTCTAAGTTTCGTCAGTTAAGCAATGCGTGAAAACTTTTTAGTTTTTAAAGTAAATTTTTTGTATTTTAAAATACCTACAGTGGCTCACAAAAGTATGTTGCATAAACAATATTTTTTCTTTTCGGTTTAATGAATGCTGGCAAAAGCGACAATTTTTTTTTAAAAGTTTCACATATTTTGTATTAACGTTTGAACAAAATTTTTGTTATTTTGTAAACCCGAAAATCCTAATTAAAAGTAATTTTCGAATTTCTATTCTCAGATACCGTATAGAAAGATAATTAATCCCAAGCATTATAATTAAAAAAATGAAATGAATTTAGAATTAAAATTTTTTTTGCGTTTGTATTTTACTATTTCAAATAAGAGCTCGTATAGAGCTATCATCTTTAATACACTAGATTACTGGTCGGCAAATTTAGATATTCGAACGATTTAGATATATTTTATTAACTTTTAATTTCGAATTTGGCTCTAAAAATTAAATGTTAAATTGTTATACAAGAATAAAAATTTAAATTTTTATAAAAAAAATTAAAAATTAAAAAATTGAAAATTTTTATAAAAATTAAATTTTTTTAAAAATTAAAAATTGAAAATTTAAAATTTTTAAAAATTAAAAAATTTAAAAATTGAAATTTTTTAATATAATATAATTAATATTAAAATTAAATTAAAAATTTTTATTACTAGATTAATTTTTAATCTAAGCGTTTTTAAAAAAATTAAAATTTTTCATTTTTAAATTAAAAAAAAATTTCAATATCTCAATTTTTAAAACAGTTTCAATTTTTAAATTTAAAAAAAAATTTAAATTTTTAATCTCGGTTAAAAAAAATTAAATTTTAATATTTAATTTCTATTTACAATTCAAATTCTGATTTTTAATTTAATCTAATTAAATTCAAAATTTTGAAAAGTTTTCAAATTAATCTTGGGTCAAAAAAATTGAATTTTAATATTAAATTTCTGTTTACAATTTAAATTCTGATTTTTATTTTAATCTAATTAAATTATCAATTTGAATTCTGATTATTTAAATTTTAAATTCTATTTTATTTATCCAAGATGGGATTAAAAATTAAATATTCAATTTTTAATTCTGATTTTCGGATAAAAATTTATATTAATACTTTTCTAGTCGTTTGATGCAAGTTACTTTTGGTAGACACTGTATATATACAAGAAACTTGGAGAGAAGTTTCTCTTCTTCGCTCTATTTTACATTTTATTAATCGATAATTTTTTTCTTTGCAGAGAACTACATACTACAAAGTAAGTACTTAAGGACAATAATTAGAAATAACAATATTAAAAAAATAAATAAATAAAACAGTTATCAGTTAGTCGTAAAATATTCTAAGACGAATGCAATAAATACAAAACAAAACTTTTCATTATACTTGCATTCATTGTATACCGATATACCTATCACAGCTAACTCATATCCTTTACAGAATTACCGTTTGAGTGTCCACGCTGCATCCGTTCATACGCGACGAGAGCGCGTCTGATACGTCATTTGGAGCGCAGTCATTCGGTGGCGACTATAATACAACAGCAACGCAACACAAGCAATAATGCATTGCGAAATCAATTACAACAACAACAAGCACACCAATCATATATAACAATAAAAGACACGTCTAAAACAACAACAGCTGCAGCCATATCCACATCCGCTATAGCAGTGACAACAACAACGACAAATTCAAGTTGCGGTAAGGTATATAAGGGCATTAATAAGAATCAAATCACCCAAAGTCAGAAATTAAAAATGTTACTTGAAACTGATACAGACTGTTAATTTGAAGAGTGTCTTCATCCCCATGCATATACCTACATATATATATGTATAATACATAAATGTGGGTTTGCGTGAAATGTACAGATAGCTATGTAATGACTAACTTTAAATGAAACACAAAAGAAATTGAAAAAAAAAAAAATTATAAAATAATAATATTAAAGTAAAGAGAACATAAGAATATAAAAATACAAACAAACAAACCAAAACAAGCAAACAATGAAAATAATAATAAATTGTAATAACACAAGTGAAGCAAACGTTTCCAATCAACACAATCAATTGTACTCTGCATGCAGGCCGAGGCATAAGAACGCATTCATATCAATACAACTACAACAACAACAGCGCTGATGACGTTGATGTCCACGATAAAGATGTTGGTATTGGTGTTGGCGTTCGTGGTGGTGGTGATGACATTGAAGACAACAACAATAACAACAACAACAACAATAATAATAATAATGATGCAAGCACAACGGGTAAATCTAAATCTACAACTAACAGAGCTACGAAGAAATCCACAACAACAACAACAACTACAACAAATGCAACTGTCAGCGCCAGAAACACGATCAATGCAGTTGACAAAATAATTGGGTATGATAGTATATATCATGAATTGCACGATAACAACGAACTTTTTGATGAATATGCCTGTGGCATGTGTTCGCAAAGTTGGCGCACTGCAGCCGAGTTGCATGCACACGAATGCATACGTGCGGTGGACACCAGCAACAATGCAACCACCGTGGCCATATGCACGGCCAACACGTCTTTGGGCCTAATCAATTCGGAACGTTCACTCTATCTCTTCAAATGTGATATATGCCATTGCAATTACAAGTCCAGTGAATTACTTAAACATCACATGAAACGTCATACGGCGCGCAAATTTCGTTGCAATCACTGTCCGAAAACCTATATCAATCGTAGCGAATTGAAATTCCACCAACTCACCCATACGGGCGAGAAGCCGCACAAGTGTGAGATGTGCCCGAAACAGTTTCGTTATCCGCATCATTTGAAACGTCATTACGATGTTATACATCTGGGCAAGCGTGCACGCTGTCCCGTGGAGGGTTGCGGTCGTACATTTACGACGCAAGCGCAATTGAAGATACACTCGTGGATACATGACGGCAATGAACCGTATCGCTGCAAGTACTGTAGGGAAACGTTCAAGAAACGCGAGTAGTGAGTATTTGACTTTTTTTTATCATTATTTATCATAATTTATATATATATTTTTTTACTACATAATGTTGCAACATTACATTTAAGTATTGTAATGCAATTAGCGGTGTCGATGACTGTTTTTCTAAATTTTGTAGAAATGTGTATAAATACTTGTAGACCAAGAAATTTTAGTGAACATTTAGGCTTCTTGACAAAACATAAAGCAATTGATTTGAAAAGTTTAACCCTTATGTTAGTAACCAACTTTACCGACGTCTTTTAGCAACCGGGTACCGGGGTATTATTATTATTTTGTTTATTTTATTTAAAAAAAAATTTGTAAAAAAAATTTTTCTTCAAATATTAATATTCAGTGACGATTTAAAGAAAAAAAAAACAGCAATGTAGAATAAAAAAAAAATAAAAAAAATGAACTTACAGATAGCTTTCTTTTAACTCAAAAAACAACGATTTGAGAGCTTAAAATAAAATATTGAATTTTTTGTAAGCTATTCACACAAATACACCGCGGATACCCGGTTGCTAACATAAGGGTTAAACTAAATAATTTTCTATATGTTTTTTATCGTTATACATATATATATCTTTTGAATATTATATATGTATATGCATATATTTTGCAATATAATATATATTTTTATTTAATATAGTATAAACTCCCGTATGTATGTATATATGTATATATATACATTTTTTTTAATATTATATAATTTATATTTTTTTCTTAATGAAAGTGCCATTTTTTGTTTGATTTTTCTATTTGGGGTATACATGATTAATTTTCTGCCACACCAAGTATCTCAAGGTTTAAGGTTAAATATTAAAATTTTGTGTAACGCAATGTGCGCGATACATCAGAGCGGCTACGTCACATACATATATTTCTTATGCCAAAATATTTAATTCATTCAGTAATCTTTTCTATTCTAAAAATGTTAAGTACAAATAAATATATCCATGCTAGTTTACTTTTTTCGCAAAGTGGCATCCCTATTACAAAATATGTGTAAATTTAATATTTCGGTTAGACTTCTCCATATACATACATTCTCCATTTTGCAAAATTTTCAATTTTTATTTCTTGCAATAATAACAACAATTTTGTCGGTGCACTATTGGTACTTGGTAATATTTATCTCACCACGACTGTAACTCCACGTATTTTGTTATATACATATAGTATTTATACATGTTTATACTCTTGTTGCTACAGAGTATAATATTGTAATTTTGTTCACCTAACGGTTGTTTGTATCACCTAAAAAATTATAATAACCAAAAATTGTCCAAGTCGAACGAAAACTATTCAAGCCGCCAAATACCGAATATGTGGACCGCAGTTCCCATTGCGAAATTTTTACCGAAAGTATGGGATACTTTTGAGACATTTATGATTGAAATTCGAAAAGAATTTCTTTGTTTTATTTTTTTTAATTTTTTTAAAATTTTTTTTTTAATTTTTTTAAAAATTTTTACTTTTATTTTTTTTTAATTTTTTTTATATTTTTTTTTTATTTTAACAAATAATACTCGCCCACCATTCATTCTAGACAGACAACCCTTTTTAATCTATTATGTATTTTTACAATTTTCACAGTTTACGAAAACACACGCGCCGCATACACAAATGCGATCTAACTGAGGAGGAAATCGCTGAAATTTATCGCCAAAGTGTTGGACATACCAATCCGCATGACTTCACGGTGTCACTCTCCAATGGACGCATGCTGCGGCGTTCGGACGTCGAATTGGCCGCCCAGCATCCACACGAATACGCAAACGATTTAGCAGCAGAAACGGCAGTGGCCACTGCAATAGCAGAGGTAGCTGCCGTTAGTAGCGTTCAAACGGAAATCGATGCATCCAACGGACTCTCACCGCTATTAGCATCGAATACACATAATAACATGAATATGAAATTCGGCATGGGCGTCGAAGAGGAGGATGAGCATGCTGCTGTCTCCGTATCGCATGTTTCGCAGCGTAACACCTCTTTGTCCACGCACGAGGAAAGCATACACACCTACATCTTACCCGGCATGGAAGAGCACGGCCAGTTGCCACATTTCAAACTCGAAAATTCTGGCGCATTTTGAAGAGACACAAACGTACTCGTATATATAAATGTGCTGTGTATTCGCCTTCGGTTTTACCACCAACGCCGCGACCATCACCACCACCACCTTCACCTAAAACAGTAGTTTTTAAATTTTTATCTAAATATTTGCAAATATATTTTAATATAAACAGTTACTAAATGCATTACTGTATATATACACACACACATACAAAAGTTTTATGTTTGTCTGTATATGAAAGCATATATCTACACTTATTTTAACCATTGTTTGGTCGGAGTATCGCTCGAAGAAAAGTAAAGTATTTATCATTATAATATAAACAATCTTGTTTTTTTTTAATGAAAAGAGTTGAAATTAAGTTAATTGAACACTTGTGCATATGTAAATACATACATACATATTTTTGTTCACATACACATACATATGCGCATCATAGCGTAATATTGTAGCTATTTAAATGATAAAAGTAATGTAAATTAATAATATTATAAATAATAATTAAAAATATGTAACTATATAATGTGCTTTACATTTTTAAAGTTTAACTGAAACTTTGTTTCATTTCTGGCGGAATTTTTTAATTGCATTCTTAAGCGCATTTTGTTGTTACAGCAATGAAACGAATTAGTCCCGCAGGTTTTAAGATATCGATATGAAATTTTGTAACCGTTATTTGTCTGCCAAAAAGTTGCTCATTTGTCGGACCACTATAGCGAAAAGCTGTCATACAAACTGATCGATCAACACCAGGTTCTTATATGGTAACATTTTTTATTTGACAAGATATCATCACATAATTTGGAACAGATTAATATCACAGGTTCTCTCTCAATCTCTGAAGAAATTGTTCAGTTCGAACCACTGTAGCGTATTGTTGCCATACAAACTGATTGGGCAAAATCAAGTTTTTCTATGGAAAGTTTTATATATGTAAAGGGTATTATAGCTGCCGTATAACGGAAGTTAACGTTTTGTTTTTTTGTTATTTTTTTTTTTGGTTATTGTTTTTTGTTATTTATTTGCTTTTTGTTATTGTTTTTTTTTTGTGCTCTTTTGTTGTTTGTGCTACTAATGATAATGTAAATACTAAGCACTGACGTACTTTCATTACAAAACATCAATCGCGTTAATCGTAAAATGAAATTGTTCAAAATAGCCGACTCTTAAGATATCAAAGAAACCAGTTTGACACAACGTTCACGGGTGCCTGAAAGCGCTATACAGAGCGGGTTCCTCACGAGCTCACAGTCGACCAAAAATAACGAATTGATGCTGCTGATCAAGTTTTGGAACTGTTCATGCGTAGTAAGTCCAAATTCTTGCTTCGATGTGTGACAACGGATGACAAAATTTCTCAATAATTTCATACCGAAAGAAATTGTTCGTTGGCAAGAAGCGAAGACGTAATTGCGGCTTCTTTATAACAAATGTAAAACATACTTTAAAAATGGCATCGACAAGTGGGAGCGATGCATCGCTCTCGACTGTGTGCTTGAATATAATAAAGAATTAGCAAAAATTGGCTTTTCTGCTTTGTTAGACGATGCGCACTTTCCAGTCTCGTTTGCTTATTGTGTAGTAATGCAACATTTTCAGAAACAGCAGTTCGCGCCATTAACAGAGCAGACGTCGCAATTGTGAACAAGTGTTGTCACTTTGTTCGCATTGTATTCATAAATACAATTCTTCTTCACTGTCGATTTCCATTACATTACATTGTAAAAAGCTAAACATTACCATTAATGGAAGCTTGTTTTACAAAGAAAAAACATTCCGCAATTATATCAAACCTTGTCAGCAATAGTGTTACATATGAAGATCGTTTAATTCGCGCGGAAACGAAACTTTTTTTACGCAACGCAAATTACATTACTTGCTTTGTAAGCTCTCCTTCTAGCTATAATTTGAAAAGAGAAGAGTATAGCTCTACACTTTTAAAGCAGGAAGCGATCAAAAATATTTTCAGCAGTTTGATTTTGCGATTCCGCTATCCGCTCGGAGAACGCGAAAATAACAGAACATTATTTTATACTTAGTAGCAACCCAATATAGTAAGCAGTTTAAATATCAAAAAAAATGTAGCGTTACACCATAAAAAGCAAATAATTATATATTAATTCTGAGTTTACCAGATGTAAAGTGAGAAAATAATAAAATATTAGACGAGGTTCACGAAAATTTATATATGAGGATAGACGAAATATTCTATATGGCGAGGATAACCACAACCAAAACACGCATAATTTTACAGATTTTAAGTTAAACAAGTTACTTAATACTAGTTTCCTGCAAAAAATTCCTTTATAAATAATAGTACTCAATTTTAGATCGAAATATATATGTAGTCTTGACACATTCTAAATTTAGTGATCTATAGATTTCATTCAACTTGGTTAGTGTCCTTCTAAGTAGTAATAGTAATATTAGCATAGTTCAAGTTGGCTATTTTGGCACTAAAGTAGTGATAAAAATGTAATGTTCTTTAGATTACAGGACACAAGAAATGCTGCGGCTCCAAAATTTTATAGATAAACCCGCAATGTACTCTGTATAACAAGGACTCAAGTATTTCTGCGCGTTATCATAAACAAGCATTTGAGAACGCAAGCGGTCTAGAAACCAACAAAACGTATCGATATAAAATTTGTCTACAGTCTAGAGCTATGAGAAAGACCTAAATTTGACAGTTTATATAAAAAATCGGATTTTTTTTCTTTTCAGCTTTAATAAGCATGATTTTGAGTGTATAAAAAGAATTTTTATATTTATATTTGATATAAAATGGCGGCTATTGGAATAAATTTTGGAATCACTTTTATCAAAAGCGGCGCTGTGTGCGACGGTGACTCTACAAATCTCGTGCTATCTGAAACAAAATAAAAAACAGTATCTAAATTTATATAAGTTTTTGAAAAGTAAATATTTTTTAGTTTTGCATAATTATTCGCCAAGTGACAGAATTCAGAAATAAAAAGAGAATTCTGATCTGACCTACAATCACGTACTTCGTAGTTACAATTTTTTATTATTTTTTAAATATATTTGTAAAATTAAGATTTAACTCTGATAGTTTAGGTAGCTTTACATAACACCTTTTCAAGAGACTGAGACGCGCAAGGAGCTTGACACTCTTCCCCACTAAACCATACAGCGACCATATTCACGAACTGTACGCAGGAATACAGACGGTATTTTAACACCACAGTCGATGAAGTGATCCCTAAGATTTTAGGTATTACATTTTAGGTACTACATTGACGGCCTGTATTTCTGCATACTGCACTCCGGACGTTTACAGGATGAAAGAACATAATAAACTCCTCACCAAGCAGTTTCTGCTAGGATATTTTCGCAGGAACTACGCCTTCTTCGAACAGCCAGACTTCAGACACAATTAACTTTAGACACGACACCGACTGCGTCTCAGTGAATGGTGTATTTAGAGTCAAACCACCACACTTTGCAGACGAAGAGCTCAAGCTGTCACGAGAATCTAGAGTGAACCTTACGCAACTTTGTTCTGAATACTTAACCAGAATCGACCCTGACATACCAAATATATGTCCAGCTTGCACTCTGAGCGCCGCATCACTCTAACCAACTCTTTGCATGAACAGTGAAACCCTACTTATCTAACACTCTTCTCACTACAGTCCGACCCTGTGGAAATAGCACGTTTCCTGGGCCTACCGTTAGTTGACTTCAATGACAACTAACCTGCATCTTATCTTCCTTTCACTTTGTGGACGTGGACAGACATATATACGAAATTTAATTCATTTCATCATCGTGATCATTTTGATCTTCATAACCCTATATCGTTTAGCTTTAGATTTTATAACCTTAGGTTGATAAAAGCAGTTGCACGCCGGAGTCTCGGCTTAACTGTACTGTATTTGAGCGCAACTTTAAACGCTTTTTCCTCAATTGTATGTTATTTGCTAGTAGTCGCCTGTGCAGTGTAAATATATGAATAATATTAACTTTAATTTTTATTTGGCTTAGTAAAATAATGTTTCGTTTATTCTTTTCCAAAAACACTTGAGACTAACAATTAGACATACTTGTACTTACTGTTTGTTTAGGTGCATTATGGCATAATCAAATAGAGTTCAGCTCCACAGCGATTCTACGTACGTAAAACTCGTTTGTTTTCAAATTTGTATAAAAATAATTGCAAATGGAATGTTCCCAAAGTTATTTAATATTAACCCTATAACACAGTAATATAATATTATTTAGAACTAACGATCTATTAAACAAGTTCTATATATTTGAGGTTAGGTAAAGTTTTGGCAAATCTAAATTTTTTAAGTAAATGGAACTGTATCATTCATAAGTCGGAAAATGAATGACAACAAAATGCATGCTATGTAGTAATATACAAGTAGAGAGAGAGAGAGAGAGAGAGAGTGTGTGGTAGGCATAAAAGAGCTTGTACGGTTTGATCTTTATTATATGTTTAGAGCACACATAAACTAACTACTACTACTATAATAGGGGGTTCATTGCAATGCAGTGTTATTAACTATGGAACTTTTGCAAAGCTGATGTTTTAAAGGCTTACGAAGTTGTATATGTCGTGACGAAGATAAACTTCATGCTCGAACACGATTAAATCCCCGTTCATTTTCAATTTTGTACAAAGATAATTCCAAATAGAGTGTTCACAAAGTTATTTAATATTAACCCTATAACATAGTAATATAATTAGCGAGTATTGTTCTACATATTTGAGGTTAGGCAAAGTTATGGTAAATCTACACCTTTTAAGTAAAAAGAATTGTTTCAGTCATAAGTGGAGAAATGAACGACAACAGAATGCATGCCAGTAATATAGAAAAGGGTGTGATTAAGCTAGTGAGAGAGGCTGTCTTACCACTTAAACCTTACTCAGGTATCTGCTTTATAAATATCGCAAATCTAATAATAAATTCAATTAACTAAGCAAGTTTCCAAGAAAGAAAGAAGGAAATGGATTTATTCGCTTCAAATGAAAGAGCTTCTAATTAGTAAATAGTATCTCTCATTTATTGCTAAATCGACATTTTATTAATCATTATTGAAATTCTAATAACAAATTAGTCGACCCAATGTCTCAACTCTTATGTTTTACTTTCATTTTAAGCACAACCTTAAGGTCACCGTTTAAGAATAAACTTAAGCTTATCTTATCAGTTGAAGGGTTAATCAACCATAGTTTTCTATATAAGAGCGCTAAAATTATATGACGCTTTAGTTATTAGTAATTAAGTCATTATTTTGGGCATTTGGAAAACTGTTAACAAGGAAAATGTTTAAATTGTGGCTGAAACTTGAATTATTACTGGCTTTGGGCAGTGTTTTGGGTAAATTTGAATTGCGCTTTGGAAACTTTGTACCACAGCCTTGTGTCGAACAAATATTTATTTTAGTATAAAAATTGGCCATTGCAAGTGATAAGCCAGTGTGGTAGAGGAGGGTATCTTCGATTCAATTACGGTTCCGACAAATGAGCAGTTTCGAGAAACGGTCGTATGCAAAATTTTAGAATCATATACCTAAAACTAAGGAACTAATTTACGTAACTACAGACAAACGGACATGCTTAAATCGACTCAGCTCGTCCAGCTGATCATTTATATATCCTTCTGGGTTTAGAGTATGAAAAAGCTTGATATTCGTTTAGTTCCAAATAACACTTATATTCTCCACACGTCAATGAAAGATATTAAAGGCTTTGAGAGCCCCATCCTTTTAAAGAGTAATCCTTTTAATCATGCCAGGTTATATAGGCATAAAAGAGCTTGTACGGTTTGATATTTATTAAATAGGGTGGTGCGAAAAAAATTTTTTTTTTGCTTAGCGTGGGGGTAAAATCTGTAGATTATAAAAAAAGAAAATTTTGACAAAAAAAAAATTTTTTTTTTCTCACATCTAGTGGCGAGCACTTAGTTTTAAAGTAAATTTTCGAGTTAAAATTTTTATTATTTATTTATTTTTGTTCTAGAAGCTGTGGAGAGTTCTCTTTCTGCCCAATTAAAAGTTATCAACTGGTCATTATTGGAGTTTTAAAAAAAGTCTTAAACGACAACATGCTTTCCTTAAACGTTAAAATAAATTTTGAGTCAAAAACCGTCACATTCGGTAATTTTTTAAATAAATGTAAAGAGTTTAAACCAAAAATAATTTTTTCTTGCCAAAAAAAAAAGTTTTACTCGAAATTTACTAAAACGTCGCCTCTAGATGTTAAAAAAATTTGTTTTTGTCAGAAATTTTCTTTCTTCAAAGAAATAGCGATTTTCGTAAGTTTTGTATGTTTTGCTTTAAGAAGAAGCTGTGTCTGTCTTCTTCATAAGAATATTTTCACTCGATCTGGTGCCTTTAAAACATTTCTTATTGCAGTGCAGACCTTTAGTCGAAAATCAAATAATGCTATCATTTATGCGAACTAACGGCAGAAACACTATTATTTATAAAGCTTGAATCGTCACACCATTCACGCACAGCTCGATTAATTTGTAAAATAAAAACTTAATCTAAACAAAAATATTATGTGTGTCTTTCAGCCGATCCCTGCACGATTACAATACCAAACGACTTGCCTAACCCAGGGCCGGTTATTCTGATACAAGAAAGACTCTTTCGTCCAACTAATGAGGTGACCGAAGTGCAGGAGAATGATGAGATTACGTTGCATTGCCCCGGTAGAAGAAATAAAGTGGTGGCATTAGGGCAGGAAACAGCCACGCTAAAATGCCAGAATGGTCAGTTCTACAACGAAGAAACAGAAACTGAGTACGCGCTTGCCGATTTAAAATGTAAAAGTATACCCACAGCTGAGTTGTTGGTAACAGAAAACGCTTGTGCTGAAGGCGCGGGTGTTTTTTACGAAGTCGGCTTTCAGGTAAACGACGATTTTCATAGCGTCTTCTCGATCTGTTACGACAGTGAAAACGAGCATGCGCTTTATTCGCGTAGTCTCGTTAATGGTGCAGCGCAGAGTTGTAAGTTATGTGCAGAGTTTGAGTTGTTTCAATTAACTATTATTTATTATTTACAGTTAAAATAAACGATAGCACCCGTCACGCCTTCCGTGCGAATGGCCTGAGATTGACCACTTCTGCCACTAATACTTTATATACAAACAGACATCAAATTTCGCGTTTCAAAACACTTTTTGGCACTGGCCAAACTTATATAAACAAGACAAGCTTTATGGCGCGTGGTCATCTGGCACCAGATGCTGATTTCATCTTCAGTTACGAACAGTTGTCCACTTACTTTTATGCGAATTGCGCACCCGAGTGGCAGGTTGTGAACGCTGGTAATTGGCTACGTGTGGAGAATACGGCGCGCAAAGTCGCCTCTTCATTCGGTTCCGATTTATTGACCTATACTAGCACTTTTGATTTGTTAGAGCTGCCAAATCCGGCGAATAATCAATTGAGTGAAATTTATTTGGACAAAGCAGAATTGTTCCCTGCTCCAAAATGGTACTATAAAGTGCTGATGCATCCCAATTTGCCGATTGATATCGTCTTTGTCACGCTAAACAATCCATTCGCAAATGTTAGTAGCGAAGTGGAGTTTTGTAGTAACGTTTGCGAGGAATATGGTTTCAACTCCAGCTCCTTTGAAGATGCCAGCCATGGTTATACTTTTTGTTGCGAGTTGAACGATTTTTGGACAAACGCTATGAATGAAGGTACTCCATATTACGATCTACCAGAGGGCTGGAGTTATAAGAATTAATTTGAGGCATATGTATTGTATATGTCTATTATTAAAATAAAAACATCATTGAAACGAATTTTTGTTTTTTGTATATTTACTTGAAAATAACGTTAGATGATTAGATACCTTACACAATAATATACACATACATATATTTATATATTATTGTTGTTGTAGTGGCAGAATTCTGTCGGATAAAATTAGGGTCCGCAGCGATTACGTATACCCGATTGTCGTGGGAACGGAGGTATATATTGTATATATATTATATATTGAATATCAAACTGGTCAGTGTGAGGTATGCTTAAGTTAGCCTGAAGCAGCCATCGCACTTAGACTCCTATATGCAGTCCTTCGTAAAGCCATCAAAACAGAAATCCTGTATTGGATCTTATAAAGTCAGCAAAGCGCCTTGTGGCCAATAAAAATTTGTTCAGGCGTTTACTTTCTTTTCCCACCAGCTCAGTGGGATACATGAAAGTGTGAGCTCCCAAGTGTTTCCACCTTGTCTTCCTCCATACAGCTTCTGCAGCTGGAGTAGGGTAAGATTCTTAACGCGATTAAGTCAATGGCCTGTTAAAATTGCCACAACTAGGGAGAGTTTAGCCTAACTGAGGACAAAGAGTTCACTTGATTTATTTACAATCAATCTTGGGCCAAAAGGATGTTGCGACAGCGCATGAATCGTTGTTAGCCCAGCGCTGGCCACGCTCTTGTGAACCCCAGCTATCCAGTAGTAGAACACACGTGGAGAGGGCAGCCCCTACCCGTTCCCATTCTACTGACAGCAGGACTAGGGTGCCTTTCTTTGTCAGCTCGTCAGTTTTACAGTTATCTGCAATTCCACTGTGACCCGGCTCCTTATCATAAAGTGACTCGATGACATTGATAACGATGCACGGTTCGTGGGCTCAAGGCTTGTATGGGCGCCCTGCTATCAGAGTGGATGGTCACTACTGTGAAGGAGGCTGCACTCCGAAGCAATAAATCTAACGCTACCTTAATGGCAGCAACCTCAGCTTGAAAAACACTGCGATAGTCAGGAAGTCTATAGCTGAACTTGATAGATAGTTGCTGACATTATACCCCTCCACCAACCTTCTGCCGAAGCTTTGACCCATCCATAAAGCAGCTCACTGTTACTCTCCTCCTATGTATTCTACCCACCCACAACTCCCTCGCATGTATGTGAGCGGAGAAAAAGCCGCCATTAGGGATGCGTAACGTGAGTAAAAATGTATATATTTTGATAAAAACATGGTGAATGTGTCCATCGGCTAACTGTGTGGTTGGTACTGTAGATGGAATGAAAATTATGAAATGCTAAAGCTATGTGTGTGTGTGTAAATTAAGCTACAAAAATGTTTGAATTTGGTAAAGAAAATGCTGCCGAATAAAACCACGCCTACTTTTAAAACAATATTATATTCATAAAGAATCTTACACTCACAATATATTGTAGAAGACAAGCATCAAAGAAGCTGCAAGATTAAACTCACCAAAAAGTTTTCGAAATCGAATTTTAACTTTTCAAGTCTCTAAACACCAAATATGAGGATCTCAGCGCTTTTGGCTAAATTTGTATCGAAAATATTGGTCAATTTGTGAGATATTTGAATGAAATTAAGCGTTCACTTATGGGGCCAAACATGGAGGCTATATCTAACTACACACCATATATATTAGGGTGGGTCGAAAAGAACAAACGTTTTTTTTTGCTTCGTACTCTGAGAAATTGTTTGATAGACACTACTAAAACCGGCTTTTCAAGTATGAACTCTTAATTGTAAGGGTTAGTTCCTCCCCTTAACAGTTTTCTATTTTTTTTCTTTATTATCAAGTACAATTATTAAAATCGACGATTCATTTTTCAAAATTTTGGAGGACCTACGAAAAAAGGTGTCTGGTGGTGAGCGAGATTTTTCTGCTTAAATTTATTATAATCCAAAAATTAAAAAAATGAATTGTTATTATAGATAAATGAAGGTAATGATCAAAGGGCTAGTCAAAATTTTGAGTTTTGGCAAAATGGCGGCATCCCAAAAAAAATAGTTCTTTTTGAGAAAAATTTACAGCGCAGAGCGGCTTAAAAAATATAATAAATTGTAAAAATCTTATTCCTTCGGTCATTATTTACAAGTTTGTACACTTGTATATATCTAAGAAGGTTAAAGGCTTCAAGTCGATCAATTCAGTCATTTCAGGGAAAGTTTTCTCACCAACTCTGGAGACAGCGTTTAAAGAAAAACGCGTTTAAAGTTTTGGGAGCCGATTACACTAAGTTAAAAATTCTTACAAATACGTTCATATTTCCGAAACTACTTGCCGGATCAACTTTAAATTTTTGGAGAATATTCCATAAAGAAGAAGTTTGTAACATCCAGAAGGAAACGTCGGAGATCCTATAAAAAATATATATAAATGATCAGCGTGACGTGCTGTTTCGATTTAACCCTGTCCGTCTGTCTGTATGTACACGAACTAGCCCTTGAGTTTTCGAGATATGTATCTGAAATGTTGCAAACGTTCTTTTCTCCGCCGATGTCCGACCACTATGGCATATAGCTGTCATACAAACTGAACAATCAAATCATGCTCTTGTAGGGAAAACTTCTCTATTTGACGAGATATCTTCATGAAATTTTTCACGCATTATTGTCCAAGGTAACGGCACAATTTCCAAAAAAATTGTTCAGATCCGATCACTATAGCATACAAACTGAGCGATCACAATCAAGCTCTTGTGCGGAATCTTTTGTATCTGTGAAGGGTATTATAGCTTCAGTGCAACCGCAGTTACCGGCATAAAGGCATTTAAATGAAAAATACATACAGTAAATTTATTTGCGTTTATGTATGTATGTTTATATTTACACTGTTTATCTTTATTTCTTATTTTAAATTTCGTTTATTTTGCTACATATTTATACATTATATATAATATTTGTATGCTCTTGTATCAAAATTAAACTACAAATTATATAATATCCACAATTTTTCGCTATATACAAAAATCCTACAACTACATACATATTTACATATATTTAGTGAATTATATTATATTAAATAATAAAAAACTCACAATATTTCATTGCTGCACTAACATACTCATATCTACAGATACAGTTATTGAAATTAATAAAATAATAAATACACTCACGGTAAAATGTTAACAAGCTAGATTTTTATACAAAAAAAAAAGATTACTTAGACGAAACTATCTTGTTTGAAACATTAAATTAGTTATCACATTCGCATGCGACGCTACAAAACGTAAGATTTTTTTAAAGATTTTAACAGCATAACTTGCTCATAGTCATACGACTACTGTACTCGTAGTATCGGCTAAACTATCTTTTACAGTTATATTTTAGCGTTGCGCTTAAATTTTTTTTATTTAAAAAGTCTTTTTCACATTTCTCACAGCTTTTTTTTTAAATAATTACTGTGAACTAAATTTAGCCGGTGAAAGGAAGTAATATAATATTTCTCATTAGTGTAACTGTTTACTATTTTGCTTTGTTTTTTTTTCTGACACATTCAACTAAATTATTTAGTATTAGACTAATTAAATTTAGCTAACTATTAGGGAAAATATATTTTAACAACTTTTACACGTAATTAGCTGCCAGCAGCAATTTTACACGCGCACATAAGCTTACATACATATAGGTATAGTACAGCTACAAGCCAATCGTTAACAAGCGCTGCATGCTTTATTCTCTTTCGTCGCAAAAAGTTTCATTTTTTATCGAAATCGTTAAAAATTATTGGTGGCTTTTGTTTATTCACATTTTTTTTCACAAAGTCCGTTAAAATAGTTCCTTTCTTTCTCTATTTTACTATTACATAAAAATGCGGCTGCTTCAAAAATTCGATTGATAAATGCGTTAGCTGTTGAATGAATATCTATGCAGAATTGTTTTGAACTCTTTATAGAATATATAAGTAAATATATCGTTTTTATGCTGCAAGAGTGTCAAAATCTACAAGAAAGTCAAATTTAGTATAAGAAATGAGCAAAATTTATAATTTTATCGATAAAAATACGTAACGGTATCTGTTAACGATATTTGGAAAACCAACTCTGATTGATAACCTTCATCTGAATTTTACAACGGTTGCTATATTTTTTGTTTTATTAAAAAAAAGTAGTTTAAGCTTTACAGTTGTTTTTATTAATGAATTTAAATAAAAAATGTGATTTAAACCGTTAATAATTTTTTTTTATTTCAATTTGTGTTTTAAAATTTTCAAGCATTAACAACTGTTATTTTTTTAATTTCTACCTTTCGATTATATTATATCGGTGCTTTGTGATTTTTATATTTCCTTATCAATTTTACCGATATTTGAAAAAGAACTGCTTGACAACTTTCCAGAAAGTCACGACTACCTGTGTCACAAGAGTTTCGGTTAAAATTATCAATTGGGTCTTAAGAAACGCATAGCGCTGTGTGTGAGTTCGGGTAATTTAGCGGTTATATACCCGATAGGAGGCTTGCTGTGTTGCAATATAAAAAGTAAAATAGTAACATTTTGCTGAGAATTCCTTGCTAATTTGTTATATCAGTTATTCTCTAACTCTTATTTTCGTTAAATGAGTGTTATAATTGAATAAAAAAATTTCAATAATTTTTGCACAATTCTCTTTCTTCAATGAAAAATCGATAATTTTGGATAAAAAATAATTGCTAATGCTTCGATTTACAAGTTTCAGTAATAATTTTATTATTTTTAATCAAATTAAGTTTTAAGAAAACGATTTTGTCTTCAAAAAAAAAGTATTTAAAATATTTATATTTTAATTATTTTTGTTTTTATTATTTAAAAAACAAAATTCGATAATTTTTTCACGATTGAGTTCTTTCGATAAAAAATGTCGTTATTTTGGTTAAAATTCATCACTAATTTTTGATTTAGAATAAAAAATTATCGTTATTCCTTTGATTTGAAAGGAAACTTTCTCTTAAAAAAAACAGTTGTAAATTATTTAATTTAATCAAAATATGCAAACAAAAAAACATTTTTAAATGAGAAATGTTACCAAATATTTACTAGGTCGGCAAAATTGCACTATCGAACATTTTTTAATAATTTTTGATTTCAAAAGCATTATCACCCGTTTTAAAGCTGTTTTGTTCTGATTGTTCGAGTTGTTTGTCGTTGGGATTTTGACACTCTTGTACAAAAAAGCTACGTATACTATATGTGTACACATATATTTAGTGTTCGCAAATCCAATTGTTTTTTGAATTTTTAAAAGTAAGTAACGCCACATTTTAAGGTTTCAAACATATTGTGTTAGCAGCACTTAAAAATCCGTAAACCCAATTTGTGAATATTTTTTATTCCATCACTTGATCGAAAGCTAAACGCAGCATTTTAAGCACTTTTACATTACAGCATACATAGGTATATGTATGTATGTACACACAAAAAATGTCGATATAAGTTTGTTTAATCGTTACCGAATGCATTTAGCATAATTTGAGTCACAATGTGACTTTATAAAAAAGAATAATAAGACAATTCGTTCTCACGTTACAAAATCATTATCAGCATTATTATAGGTAACGCTTAAAGTGTCCTCATAAAGCAATATGACGCATTCCTTGTAATCACAGTATTAACACGTTTGAATCGAAAGATGCAAGGCAAGACCACTGCCGCTAAAACTAACGCGTCTTTTACATATTTAAACAGAACATTTTCTACCCTGCAGCCAATCAGTGTTCACCACTTGGAGGTTAACAATAAATAATTTTAAATAATATTGTGATTTGTAAAGCTAATATGCCTCAGTTAGAGCGTCGGCGCAGTCATAAATTATAATTTTCTGCTGATGCTTTTGAACAATGCAGTGCAGCTGCAGCAACATGATGGAGTATTTTCCAATCTGTATACAGATATATGCTTGTACATAAGTATGTACTGGCTTTCAGTAGCTTATACTTTGTCGCTAGTTGTACTATTAATTCTCAGTAGACCAATAAACACAATGGTTATGATGGCCTACGCGGTGACTGTCATGACACGACCCAAGAATGCACAATCCCTAAAAGCAAATATTATATAATGAATTATTAAATAATTAGTATAAAAAACATATATAATTTACATTTACTATATGTTTAGTTATGTGTACATTAGGGTGAATTTTATTTTAGAAGTTGACGCTCCTTGTCATTAAATTTTTTGTTTGAAAATTAGGATCCAACGCAAACAAGCGGTTTATTTTCAATTTAATATGACATGAGCATTCATGCAAGTGGCTTATATATTCTGTGTTGCTCATACGACATGGTGTACTAATAAATGCTCAGTATATTTGATGCGTGACATGAGCATTCATGCAAGTGGCTTACATATTCTATGTTGCTCATACGACATGGTGTACTTATGAATGCTCAGTATATTTGATGCGTAACTTTAACGGCGTATAACTTTTAAAGGCATATTTTTGCGAAAAAAATCATTAAGACATATTTTGTACAGCAGGAATTTTTTAATATTTTGTAATAGAATATGACTTTTTTAAAGTTTTAGAATTATATTTTTGGCGTAAAAAAATGTATTGCAAAAGATCAAAAAATATTATTTTAAATTTATGGAAATAGTAAAATGAATTAGGCATAGGTTTTTTGAAAATAAAGAGTTTGTTTACGATGGATCCTTATTTAAGGGCAAAAACTGAAACTTCAGGGCATGATTTCGAAAAACCAAACAACTTGGCATAATTTATATAGTTGTTAAATATATTTTTCTATATATTAACTTACTGTTCTCGCCTGGCGACAGAGTGATATGTATATCCTCTCGACTCAAAATTGGTTCTGCAACAAATATTTGAGAAAAGTGTTCTTCATAAATAACTGTAGATATGCGTGCGTGTATGTAAAAGTGAGGTTAGATTAGCAGCAGCAAGTTGCAAAAGCAAGCAAACAGCAATTGAGTAGATAAAACAATTCAAACGCAATTATCGCATAAGTTTAAAGTTTCATTTTCAGTTTATTGTTGTATTTGTTTTTACACTTACATACATAATATTAGTATTAATATTGATAGTAAAGGTTATATGTTTCAATTTGTTTTAAATAACTAATTGTAAAAACAAAAACATTAAAGTAACGAAATAATTTTGAGAAATGCTAAAACAAAAACGTATATTCCAAGCGTATTCTGTTGAAAAAAATAAATGTTTATAAAACCAAATTGAATGCTCAAACTGGACTGCTGGATTTTGTTATTTTTGCACATTTTAGTATGGTTACTTGTTGAGTCTGTGTGTATGTATGAAACTGCTGCTGCAAGTTGTTTTATTTTGAAGATTTTTTAGATTATAATTTATAGTTTATAGTTTTAATAACTTTAAAAGACAATACTAAAAATATTAATTTGTTAACGTTTTTCTTCTTTTACAATTTTTAATATTCGATCTGTTGACGTCATACTTTTTGGTGAAAGATTTTTCGCTACGCATTTTTTTCAGACGGAAAATTTAAACTGAAATCAAAACGAGACGGGTTTGAGAAATTTTACTTTCTGAAGTATTATTTTGACATAATTTAAGATATTTGGAACGATTTATTGATATATATATGAAATAAGTAGAAAATTAGTGATTTTACTTGTCACAAAAGCTTCTTTGTTTTCTTTATTTTCGGCGCAGCAATGGAGGCATTTTAGTTTAAATAATTTTTTTTTCAAAGTTGTAAGATTTATGCTAGCAGCAAATAATATATTTAGCATTGAGCGATTTGCAGCACAAAAATTCCACAAATTTCACAAAAAATGTGCCAAAATTAATTGGGATTGTGTGATTTTATTTTTTTATTTAAGCAGATTTTAATAAAAAGCCAAACAAGCATAATCACGTCTTTAAAATAATTGCAGAAATTTCTTAATTTGGATTTTAAATTAGATTTTATTCAAAATTTCACTTTTTTGTTACTACGTGGAATAAATATATTAAAATTCAGACAAAATCGAGTGATTTAATTTTACAATATTTTTATTTTTTTAATTTATTATATCGGAAAAATATAAGAAAAACGTCAGTATCAAGTGATTTCAGTTGTAATCTTTTTTTGTTTCAAAAGTTTTATTATAACGGGAAAAGGTTAAAAAAAGGGCCAGTATCAAGTGATTTCATACCTTAAATAGTATTTTTTACTGAAAAGTTTCGTTAAAGTTTTAGTATTGCCTGACGCAGCAAATAGTTTGACTTGTTCGTTCGTTTGCTTGATTAATTTGTATTGAATAAAAAAAAACAATAAAATAAAATATTTTAAACACTCATACATAATAAAATATTATTTAAATTAAATGTATTTAAAAAAAATTAACAGTTGAATTAAATTACGAGTACAGCTAAACGTTAAGCTTATTTCACATTATTTTTAATGACTATAATTTCTATAAATATTTATACATATATACATGTAAAGTATGTGTATATAAGCATTGGACTTTGATTTCTTTTTAATTTATTTTTCTTTCTATCAATTAATGCACGAGAATGTGAAGCTAGTTTTATAGAGTTAACTAGATTCACTGTTTTCTTTGATAATGTGTAAATTAACTACGTATAGCACGCCATTTAAGTATTCAAAATATTGTAAACTAACAAATAATATACTGCATACAGATTTTTTGAACATATTTTACTATTTTTATTTACGCAAACACTTTTTATACTTGCTTTATTTAATTATCACAGCTTCTAGTTACTATTTTTTATTGTTTAAAATTTTTTACGTATGTATATAAGTATATATGTATGTATGTGCAGAGTCACATGCAGTTAAAATGCGTTGATATAATTAATAATTTAACTTTGATTTTAATCCAAAAATTAGAATTAAAAATTGGAAATTAATGTTCAAACACAAAATTAGAATTTAAAATTGATAAAAAAAAGTTTTAATTCTAAATTTGGTGTAACAAATAAAAACATTATTTTCAATATCAAACGCTAGAATGAAACGGGATATTAAATAAAAACCAAGATTTACATTTATCTAATTTAAAAATTATAATTAAGAACAATTAAATGTTAATAAGAAAAAAATTGCTAAACTATTATACATATGTTGATGTTTTATTAAAAATAAGCTTTCCTTTTCAAAATATAAATCAAAATAATAGAACACGAAGTACGCAAGCGCGAAACTATTTTAACTTAAAAAACACAATTTTTTAAATTATTAATTACAACTTACCACTTGGCATTCCATTTTTTTTCAATCCGTTATTTAGGATTAATTTTTTTTTTTATTAAAACCTAAATTCAAATTTTTTTATTTGTAAACCGATTTTAAGGATTAAAAAATAATTTTAATTCCGGTATTAGGTATTAAAAATTTTAAATTTAATTAAAAAAAATTTATTTGTGTTAATTAAAAAAAAATATGTAAATAAAAATATTTTGAAATATAAAATTTGGGATTAAGAATTTCAATATGATTTTTAATTAAGATTTTCGAGATTACAAAATGAAAAAAATATAATTTTAATTAATACCATTGTCTTTTTAACGCTTGAATTGCAACCCTGGTAGTGATTCATTGCGAAAGGATTATATACATATGTAAGTATACATACACATTTACTATTTTAAAATATTTATGCAGCGCATTGAAAACAAAATAATAATATACAATTTTGACAAGTTTTTTACTTATTGTAAAAGTAGTGTAAGCGTGTATTGAGGCATTTTAACTGCATGCAAAGCAACAACATAGAAAAACCAATATTTAAACGCATAAAACTGTGCTTAACTGTAACGGCCTTATAAACAAGTATACAAGTAACTAATGCATTTGGTTTAGATTAGCATAAAAAAAAATATGTAAATACAAACTTAGCGGCTAAGTAATAATTTAGCATTGTGTCAATAAAAAGTACGTAACACGTAACATAAAGTAAAAAAAAACATTAAATAATAATAATAAAAACACCATGCAAGCCATTCAGTGTTATTCCGCAGCAACGGTGCGTACAGCAGAAGTTGGCGAATTGCCCGCTGATGCCGTGCTCGCGCCATGCGCTATTGCTGTTGGAGTCGCCGCGGTCAAGGCCGCCGCAGCAGCAGCTGCAGTCGCAGAAACGCTACCGGCTGCCGTTGGGGCAGGCAGCTGTGGCATGGCTGCAGCTACTGCTGCTGTGCTGGCGCTGCCGCTGCCACCAGCTGTGGGCACAATGCGTATCGTACCGGGTATGATGCGCACACATTCGCACGCCTCGCATATGTTCAGCTGTGGATGATTGAGGAATGTACACATGGAGCAGGGCCAACGTTCGAGCGGCTCATAGTCGTCACCGCCATCGGTATTCGAATCGGAGTAGTCCGACTCGTCGGTTGATGGCAATTGATATGGTGGCAGTTGGCCGACATAGTCTGCGCGTTGCGCTGGCGTTCGCTGCAAGCGTGGTGAGTTGGGTGTGCCTGCAGCGCTATTATATCCGCTACCGACAACACCAACAATGCCAGCGCTACTAACGACACTGCCAGGTGTGTTGTGTTGTTGTTGTTGCAGGAAATCTACTTCATTCGGCTGGTATTGTTGGTAGGGACTTGGCGGTTGTTGTGGTGGTGGCGGTCGTGGTGGCCGTTGCCGTGGGAATGCTTGTTGTTGCTGCTGCTGCTGCTGTTGTTGTTGTTTCAGTCGCTCGGCTTCGCTTAGCTGACCTGTGGGTTGAATGTGCGCAAATTTATTGTAAGTAAACTGTATGTATGTATGAATGTGTTTAGTTAGGTTAAATTACCGTAACGTCTGATATTTTCGATTTCGTTCAATGTTTGTTGACAGTCAGTGCGTAATCTTTCTATTTCATAATCCAGTCTCTCAGATTCGCCGGGATTCAAGGGTTCGGTTAGCATTTTGACCTCTTCCTCGACATTGCCAAGTTTATTTTTGTTCTCACGTAGTGCCGAGGCCAATTTGTCACGCCGCGCTTTCTGACGCTTTATGGTCTCGATGAAAGCTGTAGAAGAGGGAAAGAACTTTATTGAGTGTTAGTGTAACTATGCACATAAAATATATGTACCATTTATTTTTAAAATATTAAAGGCTTGACCAATGGACGTTTGGAAATAACTGATTTGTAGAAAAACAGTAGAGGGGTTTGTCTTAAATTACGCTGAGATATAAAACAGAATTAGCAGAAAATGCTGAGTGAATGTGACGAGAAAGCAAAAGCATAGACATATGAGGACATATTTCATTATTTGACATTTTTTCTTGAGTTCAGTACACAGAACTAAAGTTTCCGCTTGGGCTAAGTTTTTCTTATATCAATAAAACGATTATATTCACTACGCTATTTTAAAAATGGTTATTGTAGCTTAAATTTTGAAAATTCTCAATCTAGTGACTTGAGTACTATATTTAAAAGTTATTGTTAATTTTGTAAGTAAAAAATCATAGGTGGCAACTTTTTAAAAAAATATTTGCAACTGTAAGCATGTATATATGAAATACTTGCTGCATATTTTGGTTTAAATTTTTTTTAATTATGTGGCTCATTATGATTTTATACGGACCTCTAAACTTTAGAACGCCTTTGGACGTATGGACTTTATGAAAAGCCATTTCACGTCAAAAATACATTTGTAGGTCGCCAAATTGAATTTTCAGAACATAGGATTGTGGCATGTCTTCCACACTTGCGACACAGATTTTAACAGTGTTTTTTGACTACAATTAGAATTTATTAACCACAAAACACGACAAGCAATAAAAGTTTAATTATTTCGAAAGAAAGCACACATTTTTTGATATATATTTTTTTATTATTTTTTTTCATTATTATTTTTTTTATAAAGTTTGATATATATTTGCTTTAATTCCACCTGATTTGCGCTAATTTTTATATATGAGTATGTGTAATTTCAGTAAGACTGCACGAGTCGATCACTGACGTTGACTACTCGACTCACTCCATTGAAACGCACATAACGGTACACATATACGCCCACATGAAGTTATAAAGAATTTAGTTGTGTTTAGGTATAGGTCGGACAAGTCGTAAACCAACCGAAATACAACTGAAATTAATTTCTAATCCGCTAATCCGCTAAACTGCTGCGAATGCTCTCCAAATTGCTTTGTAATAAAAAAAAATCAAAAAAAAAAAATATTGATATGCAAACAAATTAAAATTTAAGCTTTAATATATGTGTTATAGAAAGGCCAACGTAAGTCGAAATTCGTAAAAAAGCACAATCGTAAATCTTATTTTATAAAGTTCTTTTCTTTAGCTGGCGCATTTTGGTTTATTAGCAAGCGTTTTATTTTTGGCATTGCAAAAATAGGTATTCTTAAAAAAAATTAAAAAAAAAACAATCATAAAAATAATAACAAAAGAAATTCGAAATGTTTAACAAATTAATAAACATTCTTGTGCATTTTTATCTGAGTTCTAATAATAATTTAATGGCGTTGAATTGGAAATGGAAACATTGTTGCCTATAGAGAGCGCCGAACGAGCGAATTCTTTCAACAGACCAGCATCGAACGGATGTTGGATAAAATATTATTTCGAAAATAAAGTGTTCGGCAATAAAAATATTTATTCATTTTATTTGCTTAGCTCAAGTGATAATAAAATAATAAAAATACGAATAAATCGTATAAATGCTTCAATATGAGGGGTGTTCTAAATTATGCGAAATATATAACTTTTCTTTTTTTTAAGTTCGATAGCCCTTAATATTATATAAACAGCTAAAAGCCATTAAATAAATCAATATTTATTGAGCTCTTACAATTATATTATTAAGTAAAAACTTAAAATGGAGTTGATGTTGTTTTCTTTCCTCAACCCAAACAAAGATTTATTGAGCAGGGTAAACAATTTTTGAAAGCAAAAAAAAAATCATCGTTAGATGAAATTCATTGGGCTGTAAAGACATAAGAAGGTTAGTTTACATTAAATTTCGTGATGGAAAAAAATTTGTTTACAAGATAAAAATAAAAAACCCAAAAACTTGGTTATTTGAATTTTTCACATAAATTTTCAGATTTTGTCCAAAAGGTGTTGCTACAAAAGTTGTAGACATTTTCATTAACTAAAACTTTGCCATATAACTTTTTTCTATAGTACACGTAGTTTTGCCGGAAATCGAGCTAAACCGTTAATAAACCTTAAAAATTCAATCACGTCCCCCTTCCTCTTCCCGACCACAGATCGCCAATAAATGGTTTTGATGCCCACAGTAGTCTAAGAGCTGATGTACTCCATCTTCGTCCCTAATTCCAGAAGCAATCGACACATTGTGTTCAGAAGATAAAATGAGCTTAAGTCTAAGGGAACCGTCAGACGAATGTGTGCTAATATAACAAAAAAGTTCGGAATCAGAGAATTGAGCCTTGAGAACAGTTTTCTTGCTATAAGAATCTGATTTGCACCACTTCTCCAAGTAATATTGGAAGACAATAAGATACTTTACATACTATCTATTTAATTAAAGAATTATAAAATAAAATCATTCATATGACGTTGCGAAGGGATTAGATGATCATCAATTAAAAACATTTATAAGACAAACCGCTAAAGCAAAAGTGTTGGGCATGCTGACGAAAGGATGAATATGCAAATAGGTATGTATGTAAGTATATTCGAACGGCTATTGCGCTAAATATAAAATTTTCATGCTAAATTTAACAACACACCGGAAAGCAAACAAAATAGATGTGTTTGCGCGGGTACCTCTTACACACATACATACAGACACACATATAAATATTTGCATAAAATATTTAAACTGCATGCAAAACTATAAGAACGAAGGCATACTTATAAATATGTACATATGTATGCATTATATATAGTTAGGTGTTGTGCCTTGTCAATGTGTGACTTTCAAATGAAATATGTATAAATGCTGATATAAATTTTCTTTCGGGCGGGTGTCGAGTGCTTGCTGATCACCGATCAGCGTCATAAACTGCCCAGCGCTCACAGCGCCATCTCCGCAATGCACATGACAATATATGCCGATGGCAAAGAGTGGTGAGGGTAGCTCGGCGTTTGGCAAGCGGCGGACGTGAGTTGTGGCTGTAGGAGTCGCGTGATCAAATGTCAAATATTATATATGAAATGGTTTAGTATAAAAAAAAAATAAATAATAGTTTAGGTGAACTTATGGCTTTATAAATAATACACAGTAAAGAGACAAAAAAAAAATCAAGAGAGAACAAAAAGTGTGTCATATTGGTTTAAATCACAGTTGGAATAATAAAATAACATATTACAAAAAAATAAAAATTATAATATTTGTATATTAAAGTAAAAGCAAACGTTGGAAAAATGATAACCTTAAACGCAATTATTTAGAAAAAGAAAAAAAACTAACGGAATTTATAATGTATTTACAGTCCGTGTCATCAACTGTGTTATTAAAAATGCACTTTTGTATATATAATAATCTAAACAAAAACAAACAATAATTATAAATAATAATTTTTGAATCATCCCCGAAAGCTTCTAATTAAGCCTATTTAAAAAAAAAATTAAGTTTACAAACCTATTGCGGTAGGCTTCTGGGTTATAGTTGTCCATATACTTGTGTTAGATACTATAACCAAATTTTTGCTTTGCGGAAGGCTACTGAAACCAGTATACTTAAAAACGCATATACCAATCACAAGTTATATGCTGTAATAGTCCGTTCCGAACAATATAGATGGAAGCATTGTCTTGGGCAATCATCTTGCCAAATAAAAAAGTTTTCCATACAAGAACATATTAAATCGGTCAAATTTTATAGCAGCTATATGCTATAGTGGTCCGATCCGAACAATACTTACGAATATTGTAGCATTGTATTGAGCAATAATTTATGTCAAATTTCATAAAGATATATTGTAAAATAAAAAAGGTTTCAATAGAAGGAATTAATTCTGAACGATCAGTTTGTATGGTCCGATATCGGCGGTTACGAGAAAGCAGCAGCTCTTGGGGAAAAAAGGACATGTGTATAACTGGTTCGCGTATATACAGACACACAGACAGCTGGGGCTAAACCGGCTCAGCTCACGATACGCTAATCTTTTATATACAAACTTTATAGGGTCTCTGACGTTTCCTTTTGGGTGTTACAAGTTTTGTGGTAAATTTAATATACCCTGTTCAGGGTATAATTAATGTATACGTATTTTCTTGAAAGATACGCGTGATGTAAATTTTGGTTTACTCTTGTAGAACGGCAACAATACTTTTTGATTTTTGTTGATTTTTATAGACATACCCATATTTAAAGATAAAACATACAATTTCAAAGAAACCAATAGCGAATTTTGTAAGTTTCTTGTCGCTGCAAGTTAGTTACAGCTTAACGAGTTACAGTCGTTAGAAAATATTTAAGAACCCAACTCAGCTTTTGCCATTTTGAGACTATGTCGAAATTTTCGAAAATTGAAAAAAAAGCGAATTTTGTTCCAGAGTCAAAATTGAAAGAAAACATTTTTCAGCCGCTTAATATATAATTTAAAAATATTGAATTATATTGATAATAATGATCCGTAAAGAAAACATTACCACTATCAAAAAATAGTAAAAGTAGTGATTTTCGGAGCTTTAGAGTGGTGGTTCTCTTACTGCAGGAAATGATAGCAGATACAAGTATAATGAATCTTTTGCTTGTCAATATGCATATCGAATATGAGTTTTAGCATACTAGGACCGGATATATAATATATCAGTTATAAACTTCTAAATGCAAAAAAAAAAATTAAATTTAATATAATTGATCGAAATCGGAAAACAAATGAAAATAATACGAACAAACCCAACTCGCTTAAAATAAAATATTCGCTGTTTCCGAAGGATACATTTTTAATAGAGGTTAATAAATGGCAACAAGAAAATACTTTAATGGGACCTGAATAAATGGTATTTACGCAAAATTCTCATATTACAGCTAAATTTAATTCAATGTGGAAAATATGTAAACAAAGAAGAAAAAAAAACAGTGGACAATATACATAGAGTATTTTTTTTTTTGTTGAAATGAAGAAAAATTTTAATTCGCCAAAACTGTAATAAATAAAAGTGAGAAAAAGAAGAAAATTTGGCATGCAAATTAAAGATATACTACCGAAAATCGCCCTGAACTTGAACGCACAGAGAAAATCAGAGCGAAGAGAAACATCGTACCGCTAAAAAACGGCAAATACAAAACAAACAAACACGCACGCAACGTACTCACACATACATACATACATATGTATTTAACAAAGGTGAACGATTATAAATCGTTGACGGCGTTAAAAATGATAAAACAAAACATGTGCAAAATAAGTGTCAAAAATTGGAGATGAACGAAGATATAATGAATATAAAAAATTAATGCGAAATATTAAAACAATGAAAATTAGATAATTTTTGTTGTACAAGTACTTTAAAAAGGGAAGTTATCAGTTGTAAAAAAAAAAATTAAATGGTATTTTTTCAGATAGATATACATTAGGGTGGGCCAAAAAAAATTAAATTTTTTTTCGCTTGCTACTTTGAGAAATAGATGCTTAGACACCTCTAAGTATGAGCTCTTAATTGCTCATATCATATGTACTATGTATATATATTTGTTTTTTTAATCCAGGAAACCCATAATAACCTAAAGCAAATTCGAATTAACTTCGGGCACACGCTTTTGGAAAAACGATCTAACGCCTAGATATACAAGTAGTTAATCTACCATTCATACGTCGATGTTTGACCAACAATTATATCAATACTTGCTAGGGAGTTTCTATAATATTAGCCGATTCCGAATTGATCAATTTCTCTGCTCGCCATTTCTCCGTACTAACTAAACTCGTGTAATATTCGAATATTCTACGAAATTATAGTGAGGAACAAAGAGAGCGGTTTCACCAGGATCCCGTCTAGTGAGGGATGCAATGTGTCAAAGTCGATGAGATCGCCACATGATGGCAGATTAGTGCTGGTTCTTAAGATAGCTAATGCTTAGAGATTGTCAACTGGAAAATTATACAAGAAATGCTCATATAAGGAGTTTTTAGAAAGAAAACATATATATTTTCAACGTTTTTCTCTCGTTTTCTTTTGATATGTCCTTACTGTAACAAAACAAAATCGACATTATAAATATATCTGTTTATAATGTCGAGATTTTGTAACATCGTTTTTGATTTTTCTAATCTTTAATGGAAATAAAGATTTAAGGGTAAACGAGGGCAAAGGCTACAAAATCATGGATAGTGTTATGAATAGTAAGCACAAATATTTACATCCAAAATCGATCTTATTTCTAGGGCAACATAAGCACTGTAGACCAGTGTAATCAACCCACTCGAATATAAATATGTGTCTACTTATTTATGAAATGCTTAGTATTTGCGAATCTAAAGTAAACGTAGATCTAATAATCAATACACAAAGAGTGCAAATAAGCGAAGAAATAAACAACACAACTGTTGTAAATTGAAATCGGGGAATGTGTAAAAAAGCATTACTTACATTATGTGTTTAAAACGGACTCGTGTTTTAAAGCCAAAATGACGTGAGAAATAATCATAAAAGTATAAATACATTTTCATACCGACATTATAAATCGATTGGAGACATTGAAAAGCTAAGTAAATAACAACAGAAAAGTGCAAAATGGAATTGCCTAGACGAATATATACATATATATATATATATATACGCGCGTACAATTTCCAAGTAGACCCCTAATAAATGAACTGATAAGAAACACTTGCTAATATTTGAAATTTAATGAAACTTTGAAGTCATACAGATTATTGTGACTTAACATTTCTATTGTTTTTAGCGAGAATTGATCGATAATTTATCAATTGGGTTTGTGCGTGTAAAGTCAAGAGGCAGAGAGCAAACATTTAAAACACTCAAACGTTAGTGTATTAATCTATGTAAATAATGTATACAGGTAGATAAGAATAAATATTACGTTGTAAATAATTACTAGCGCTCGACTAAAATATACGACTATTATTAATTACGTCGCATACAAGAAAGCAAAACTGTTTACAAATATGTGACAGTATAGAATATATGGAAGCAAAATTATAGCAAAATTGTGAAATTTTCTTTACATATTCTTGAAAAATAAAATAAAAAATAAAAGCGAAAATTGCTCCCGCAGTAAAGAAACTTTAGATGCCTTGCTAGCACATGGCTGAACTAATAGCAGCCTTTTATGAAAGGAAGTGCGAGACATGTAAGCTGAAGAAACTGAAGTTGAAGTTGTACTTATATATATAACACTCTTGAATAATACTGAAAGATTATAGCTTACTTTGAAGTTGGCAAACATCAAGTAAGGCCTCACGACTAAGGATATAAGACCCTTAAAAAGTCTGTCTAAGAAATGAATAACTTTAAGCAAATGGGTTTAACCCGCCACAGCAGTATGAAAAATCTTGTTTCAACTTGACGTTTCCCAATATACTTGTACTGAAACTTTCCACACTAACGCTTAACTCACCACTATTCTCCAATGGCAGACACATCTCCTCACTGTGTGCCGTGGTTAGTTGCGCTTGCGGCGCAATATGCTGTGCCGCTTGTGTTGTTGGCGATCTCAGTATTGTGGTAGGCGGTTGTTGTGATGTAGTCGTTGTTTGCGCCGTACCGCCAGCAGGTCCATCTGGCGTATTCGCACCCTCAATACCAGCGTAGTAACCACTATTACGTGGTCGTATGCGACTCGCATTAAATACACCACCTTCCTCGGTGACTGTTATATGGAAATTTTGTTGAAAACCGTGACGTGCATTATACGATGTACTGGAATAGGTCAGACCACTACCATTGCCGCTCAACACTGGGCCGGCAGAGATGTCTATGGTCGATTGTGGTACAGCGTTGGTGGGTTGACGCAATGTCAAATTGACTGAGGTGAAACTTTTCTGACTTGTTGGCGTACTGCCACCACTACCAACGGTGGCGGGATTTGAGACGGTGCTAATTTTTGCGGACGGCAGAAAATCGCGCGCGTATGGCGGCTCTGGCTGTACGGTGATAACTGAGCGATGGCGTATAGGCGAACGCAGAGGTGATGTTGGCTGTGGTTGATAAGTGGGACTAACAACGTTGTTATTGTTATTGCTATTATTACTATTTTGCCTGTTGTTATTGATATGGGTGAGCGCAAAAGCTGGCGATGGCGAACATCCCACACTGGCAGATACTTCGCTTTCGCCGCACGAGCTTAACGGACTCGTCAAAGCCGATTCGGTCGAGCAACTACCGACGCTCTGCGATTGTGGAGAATTTCCACAGCTGTTGCTGTTGTTGTTGCTGCTATTGTAGCTGCTATTATTGTGAAATACTGGCTTTGGCGCGATCGGCGGCAACGGTGCTTTGCGTATCGGCTTCTGTAGCGGCGGATCTGCGGCTACGCCACTCGCTGGCTGCTGTTGTTGTTGCTGTTTTAATTGGCTACGCTGCTGCAAATGCTGTTGCAGTTGTTTGTTTAACTGCTGGCGCTGCAGTTGCTGCTGAGATGTTTGCAAGTTGAGCGTATTGGGGCGGGCGCGCGCACCTATCGCTGGCAATTGCGCCGGTGAGTGCTGATGATTGGCAGCAATTCTATTGAGCGCCGTTATGAAATCGGCGGAGCGCGCGCAGTCGACAGACGCGTTCGCGGTCACGGGCATATCACACGCTTGTTTGGGCGAATCACTGATACCACTATTGTTGTTGTTATTATTACACTGATTATTGCACGGTAATTGAACACTATTAACATCTTTTGCTAAATTGCTGCTATTTTGCACTAACTCAACACTATCACAATTGGTTTGAGGTGTAACGGCACTATTTTTGACTTCAGCACGTACGCGTTGCAGCGTCGCCACAGAGGGCGGCTGTGTAGGCGCGGCGCGTATGGGACGTAACGGCGTCACGGGTTTTTGCGGCGACGCGTTTTTAAGGCGTTGCGGCGGTTGTGGCGGTGTCTGCAGTGTCAGCGCTGGCTGTTGTGGACTCTTTTGACGTTGTTGCAACTGCTTTTGCTGCTGCAGATTGCTGTGTTGCTGATTGTTGATGTGGTGTTGTTGCAATACCTTCGCTGGGTACGTTTGTACTGGTATCGGGTTTAGCGCCAACTCATTTCTCAAAATCTGTATGCAATTCTCACGTTGGTGACAATTATCGTTGACACACTGTGCTACAATCGGATCGGGTATGGTCGGAAACTCTTGCTTCATCTCATGAAAAAGATGCATAATACTTATGTTCGTGCAACTACAAGCGGGACGTGCGGCGGCGGCAACTGCTCCTTCCAAACTATTGCCGGTCGTTGCAGTATCGTTTTCGTTGTAGTTGTAATCGTTAGTGATGTTGTTTAGTAGATTTTCGCGACTATTGTAACGTTTTATACCAAGCTTGCTGTATGCCTCAGCGTTGGCCGAGTGCGTCGCGGTGGAGGTAGGCGTGGTGGGTGTTGGTGCTGCAGTGGCAGCCGAGGTACTAGGATTACAGTTGTTGCTATTGCCGTTATTATCGTTGTCGGCGTCGTTGTTGTTGTGACTACTTTGCTTCAGAAAAGTAGCTGGCGGCTTCGGTGGTTTAGCCGCCATTTTTGGCCATCATTTGCCGTAAACACGCACCTGGAAGAAGAGAAGCGTGGACAACTAAATTAAAAAGATGTTTGAAAAAATAAAATTTGTTTTCGAAAACTGCTTAATATCACTTTACAATAATTATTAATAGTTGATTGATATACTTGTATGTTAGCTTAAGTTTCCTACAAGATGATACGCTGATTTTTAATTGAGTTACAAGGCAACCCTGCTAATTTTATTTGTTATAAATTAGCTAATAAAAATAAATAAAATTGTTTCTGATCAACCTTAGCGTGATATAAAGCAATTAAGACCACAACGAGTACTTGGTAAGAGGTTTTAGAAGAAAAAAACTTTGACTATCAATTGTTATATTTATATCACTCTCGAAGCAGACACTCTATTTACGGTATATGTTAGAAAAATAGATAGATTTAGTTAGAGGTATGCACCGCGACCTTCGGTCTATTGTGCCCTCTCCTAGTCACGGGATATGTTATTCCTATACGAATGTGTTTTGTGTTTGACTATCACTGTTGTTGTTGTAGTGGCAGAAAACTGTCCCTAAAAAATTCTGAGCAAATCTTTAGTGTGGAAATCCATAGCTAGATAAAAATCCAGGCACGCTTCGGTTAGGTAAACCTGACTGTCGTGGCTACTACCATTCGGCAGGCTTGGAATCAAAGTCTAGCCATATACCAAAATCATAGAATTTCTATACCCTGAACAGAGCATATAAAGTTTGCCATGACGTTTGTAACTCCTAGAAGGAAACGTCGGAGACCGTAAAAAATGTATTTATACATGAACAGCGTGACGAGCTAAGTCGATTTAGCGATGTCTGACTATCTATATATACGTCAACTAGTCTCTCAGTTTCTTAGATATCGATCTGAAATTTTGCGCACGTCCTTTTATCACCAAAAAGTTAATCATTTGTCGGAACACTATAGCTTATAGCTGCCATACCAACTGACCAATCAAAATCAAGTTCTTGTATGGAAAAAAATTTTATTTGACGAAATGTCGGTACAATAGTACAATCTTCGAAAAATTGTTAAGATCGGATAATATCAAATCTTTAAGTGTATTTTTGACACATAAAGTATATTTATTAACAACACGCAGGTATCTTAAAACTTCTGGTACACTACATTTTACGCATGAGGTTAGTACACATATCGTAAAAACTAGCAAAATCGTGGTGAAACATTTAGTAAAGTTTAAACGCTACTAATATTACTCGTGTATATAAAAATAAACATAAATTCGTTATGCCCGTTGACTACCGAAGTAACGACGCCTCATTACACGACCGGTTTAATATTGACTACCGAAATATCGACGACTCATAACAAAACCGTTAAAAAATATTGAATGAATTACAGTCGCTTTTAATGACGGAATAGGAACTGATTAATACGAGTCCAATTTATGCCTTAATTAGAATCTGACAAAGAGCTCATGAAATCGATTCAAAGGTCAGGTGATTCTCACCTTGACATTCTTAAGATAACTAAAATACCTGCATATACATACATATGTATGTACAAAACAACATTTGTAAGGTCTTTAAAATATCATGGCACAGTATTAGTGCTCAGTGCTTTACTTTTTAAGTACATTGCTGGTCCTTCTTAATGCCCATATACCATTTATACTATGTATGTAAGTATAACACTTTCAGGTTTTTAATTCAATTAGAAATACACATCTAGAACTTAACTGGTATTGATCTTCAATGGTTAGAGAAAGTGTAAACAATATACAGAAAAAGGGGTCAGAAAAACAACCAACATTCCAAGAGCAAAAAGCTTTAAGAAGTAAGCGTAAAAGAAAAACAAAAACATGCGCTTGATATTTGTACAAGAAAAGGCAACTCATTACGCTGAGATTCTTACGCAAATACACATATATTCTATTGTTTTTGCACAAAATAGCAAAACTTATTTCATTTCCAGAATTAGCGCTACGTACTAAACGTGATGTTGGAAGCCAAAATAGCACTAAAAATAATAGAAAATAAACCGCTACTTAGAGGGAAATGCGTCGGCGGAGGGTAATATAACTATATACAAAGGTATGTAGATATTTGTATGCAAAACAATAAGTACTACATAAATATCTATTGACGCGTGCAAACGAGGCAGGCTTAATAAGACTATGCCAACTCAAAAAAATAGCAATTTAACAAAAAATGTTTTATGCCAAATATTATAGATCACGAGATTATAACAGTTTTGCCCTGTTATTGTACTTTTTGAAAGCGCGTTTGACAGCAACATTTCTGAGTGTGACGTCATTAATGCTATTGCTTTTGTACACCGAATTTTTTAGACGTGTTATTGTTGCAGCGAGCGTTTTTATTCGATGATATCTTGAAAGAGAAAGGATAGGTGAAAATATAAAAGACTCATGAGGAATACTTTCTTAGCTAATTTCATGTGATTTCACAAACAAGATAAATGGCGTAAGTGGTGAAAGCTGACAGAAAACAAGTATGCGCAATTTTTATTTGACATCTGTCATAAATCGCTTAAACAAACTAACATAAGTGAAATTTGTACCAAAGACGTCTTCGACTTTATGATAGATAACAATTGTTAAAAATAGCATTTAAAATTATAATATAATAATATAAATTTTTTACGTTTCGACTTGCCATGTACTTATCGAATCATTTTTCACTACTCGTATGCAGGTGTACATATGTATATCTGCATATACTTGTGTTTGGCGAAAATATGTTTTAAAACGGTGGGGATTATTTCGCGTAAAATGTTGGCTTGCGTGACGTATTCATAATATGGCGACGATAAATTCCAAATAAAAATGGAAGATTTAGTAAAAGAAATAAAAATAATAATTTTTAAGCAAATGACAGGAATATTTAAAAATATTCATGACATAAAATGCTGCAAAGGAAGGAAGTACATGATGGTCGATTCTAATACAAGATAGATAACAAAAAAATTTACAGGTGTAAGTTCACAATTTTAATTAAATTAATTGAAATTTAAAAACGAAAAAATATTAATTCATAATGATAAGTGAAAGAAAAATAAATGATATATGGTAGATTTAACGTTATAAAAATTTAAGAAAAATTAAAATAATATACAGAAATTAGAACTGCAAAATAAAGAAATAAAAAATTAATAATTATGAAAAATTATAGAAGAGAAATATTTATATGTATACATAAAAGCGTATATATGTACATAAATATTATATATAAAATTTTTAACGAAAAGAATGAGTTGAAATTGTCAAAAAAACCTATAAGAAGTTTACAAAATTATTAGAATTGAAAAATTAAAAGAATATTAAATTAATTGAATTATCAAAATTTGTAAAATGAAAAGTTAAAAATAATAATTTGATAATTATAAGATATAAAAGTAAAAAAATAATAATTTAATTTACTGTTATAGCAATTTTAATTAAAATCAAAAACGTGTAAATTAAAATGTAAAGAAAAAAATGTATTTGAAAAGCTTAAACTTATTAATAATTTTTTTATAAAATATAAATAAAAAAAAATAATAATAATAATAAAAATTAACAATACTTATTGAAATAAATAAAAATTGCATAAATATAATTAAGAAAAGTAAAAAAATAAAATAGTTTATAATAAAAATAAAAAAATACTGAAGTAAACAACGAATTCTAAAAAAAAAATGTATTACAAGATGTGTTAATTTATAAAAGAAATAACATTTTTTTCTAAAAACAAACTTTGCCACAATTATATGCGAAAAACTTTATAGAGTTAATTAATTAACTAACTAAACAAATTAAAATTTATTGAAATTAAAAAAATATACATCATAAAATAATTAAAACGCTTTAAATTTAATTTTTATATTAAACATTACAAACAACAAATAAACAAATTTCAATAACAGAAAACGAATGTTTAGAAATATCAACCATAAAAACTAATAACTGTAATTTGAGGATGGCGCTTGTAACCAAACATTTCAATAAATCAAAACTTAATATAAAATATTCGCACAAAAACTGACACTAACTGATTTTAGATAAATCGTTTTATTTTTAGAACATATTTTAAATTAATTTTTATAGTAAATATTTAATAATTTTTTTAAACAAATATTTTAACTACTGTTTTTACTCACATTTTTTGCTTTAATACTAGCAGTGGCGCTAGCAAATAGTGTTAAAAATTACAGTTTTTTTTGTCGTTGTACTTATTTGTAAACACTGCTTTTAATATATACTTTTTTTTTGTTTTTTTTTAGTGTATAGATAAACTATTACACTTTTTTTTTTGCCTGTAAACTTCAGTATACATGTAGGTTTGTATATGTATATTTTGTCAACACTTCAAAAATAAATTTCGTATTCGTTTCAATTGCGTTCGATAAAATTTTGCATTTGGTACTTTTTCGCAACGAGCGGCTGCAACGCAAACAATATGGGATTTCCGAAACTTATAGTTATTAAGTCACTAGTACTTTTTTTAATTTGTGATTTAATTTCTTACGAAAAGCAACAATAAATACAAACTTATGTACGTGCACGCGCATAAATATTTATAAAATTTCCCAAGCAAATTATTTGAAACTATTCAATTAAAATAATAAAGTCACACACTTAAACGCGCGCCGCTATAAAGCAGCTGCTATATGTATATATGTACAAGTATGTATCTATGTGTGTAGGTACAATTAATCACTTTGCACTTTGAATTTTCACTTTTGATTGCAGCTTTTAGACAGATGGCACGAATATATAGTCAGCGGCGTCTAATAACTCGTCAATTTCAAAAGTTTCAGTAACATATTGTTATTGTTGTAGGTGCTTAGTGACAGACGCAAAGCAATCGTAAGACTCAGTTGTATAGTAGAAAAAAAAACAACAATAACAATTTCGAGACGAATTTTTTTCTTATTTATTCCAATTCAATTAATAACACTGATTAGCTGTCTAAGATGTGGTTCGGGGTCACGACAGAGCAGCGTGCGTCTTATACGCGACCGTTTTTCTCAAAGTATTTCACGTGTGTTCGTTATAAATGCTGAATTTTGACTGAATTTGTGCGGTACATTTGTTGCTTAGTCAATGCTAAAGTCAACCATGCGCCGTTATACTTTCTCACACTCTTGCAAACACATACATAGGCAGGTGAGAATACAAACGCAAGCGTGAAATACATATTTAAGAGCAGTATCTGTGAATAAATAAATGAAATAAAAATATAAAAAGTAGAAAATTAGCAGGAAAACCCAATATTTCGAAACAAGAAAAACACTGAGCGGCGCGTTGGCGTGCACCCACACAAGTTTTTGGGGCGGAATCAACAGCGAGTACGCGGTGTGAGTACAAGAGAGCGGTAGAAGTAGCAGCGAACATGCCTTAATTTTTATTTTTTACATTATTGATTAATCGGAAATAAATACGTTAGTTGTAGCAAAAAGCATTTAATGTGTTAAAAGCTATTAATGTGATAAGCATTAAGCACTCGAAAGTAATACGTTAGCAGTTAGCAATTGATAAGAATAAGTACTGTATTGCTAGTACAGATTTCGTATAATATGAACGCGTATAACTAATAATAATAATAATGTAAAAGACCATGTATGTTAAGCAATGGGGTATTTCATAGCACTGAAGTTTGTACAACTAGGCGTATGTGTAATCTGCTACGAGTTAATGACTGCAACAATACCTATGGTATAGGTTACGTATACGCAGTGGGTAACATACAAATCTAACAAGTATAGAGCATATATCAAATAATTAAATAATGATTAATTATAAATATAAAAAACTTATGTATAAAAATATAAAAAACTAAAAATATATAAAAAAAAAATATTATATTAAGAAAGTAAAATTAGGAAAAATTTATTTAAATAAAATTAATTTTAAAAAATTATTTTGAAAAATTTATGGAAAAAATCTTTTTAAAATAAAATTAAAATCTTTATTAAAAAAAATTAAATTTATTTAAAAAAATTAATTAACAAAAAATTATATTTAAAGAATAAATTAATCTAAAAAAAAAACATAAATACAAACATCTAAATTAAAAATATTAAAATGAAGATAAAAATCAAAATTCGATTGACTTGCTATTATAAGTTTTTTTAAATTTTATTAAATGCAGTTCAAACCACTTATCTCAAAAACTAATAACTACAAATAATAGAAAGATAACAAAGAATTTGTAGAATATATTGTTAAAAAAAAGGAATTTAACAAAATAAAACTTCAATCGGCGAAACATTAAAATTTATTTAAAAAAAAATATTTTACAAAATTAAAAAAAAAAAAATTAAAAATAAAATAAATTAAATTAAAAAAATGTTAATACAAAAAAATCTAAATAAAAAAAAAATTTCGAATAACTTAATTTTTAAATTTTATTAAGTACAGTACAATTATTTAAACCGAAAAATTAATAACTACTAGTAAATAGTAAGAAAACAAAAAAAAATTTATAAAATGTTGTTTCAATTAAGAAGTAAATTAACAAAATAACACTTAAATCAGCGCAGCCATAAAATTTATTATTTAACAAAAATTTTAATTTTGCTATTTAAAAAACGTAATGAAAGTGAAGCTAATTAAAAGATGTATGGTGAATTTCTGTATACTTTCACAAATTAAATGCGCTACGTTTTGATTAAATAATTGATGTACTTACTTTTGAACGCTACAGAATTTGACCAAAGAACTGCACATACAAGCATACATGTATGTGATATGGTAACTTTTATTGAAATACAAAAATGCCGAAATATTCAAAAAGGCGTAGGTGTTCAGATAAATAATAAACAAGAAGCCGTAGGATGTTGGCGCAGAACCGCGCACACATAGACAAGCATGTATATCAGTGCGGCTAAATGTACGTTAATACATGTCTTTATGTTGAAAATGTGTTTTATACGAAAATTCCTGTTTTTAAAGAAAATAATTGCGCTGGCAGGAAATAGAAGAAAATTTAAAAAATAGTTTCAATATTACTGAAATTGTTTTTAAACAAAATATATAAAAAAATACATATTATTTTACTACAAACTGAGCCACATAGAAGATTAGTTAGGATAACAAGCAACATGCAAAGTAATAAAAACAACATAACCTCATTTCCTACGTGACAGCAAAAACCTTATACGACCTTCAACTGTTATGCCAGAAATAAAAATGCAGTTATAATCAGGGTTGCAAATAAAGCATTAACAAAATAATTGAATCAACATTAAACTTTTTTTTTTGTAATCGCAAATACTGGATTAAATAAAAATGCTTGTAAAATAATAAAAAAATTTTAATTCCAAAATCAATAAATTTTTAATCCCAACTAGTGGATTGAAGAATAAAAATATTAGTTTTACGCATATAGTAATTAAGAATTGAAAATAGAATTTGCTTTAAAATTAAAATTTTTTCGCGTTTATTTGAATCAATAAGTAAAATTTTCAATTTTTGATTACAAACATCTTGGATTAAAAAATTAAAATTTGTTGTGTTCTCTTGCAACTCGCTAACGTAAAAAGGTAAAACAAAAACAAGTAAAAACGTTAACCGAAGCTATAATGTCCTTTTCAGGTGCATTGCTTATGGCAACTATATGTATTACTAAATCTGCAAAAGCAAGCAACCAACCGTCGCCTTGTATTGTAACTATATGCTACTCTGTTCTGAACAATATGTTCGAAGTTTATAGTGTTGCCTTAGACAAAAATATATGCCGAATTTTGTAAATATATCTTGTCAAATAAAAAAGTTTTCCATACAAGTACTGGATTTTGACCGATCAGTTTGTATGACAGCTATATGCTGTAGTGCTTCGAGAAATTAGCCGCTTCTTGGGGAGAACAAGATGTGTGCTCGATATCGCAAATACTGAGCTAGTTTACTCGAGAATTTCACATATTGACTAGACTTAATTATATATCCACAACTGTATACAAAGAAGTATTCGATTATGCTTATATACAACTATAAAAACCGATATGCTCTGATTTATGTTTAAACGCCGCCAACTCTATTGACATGTCTCTTTTATTATAATATATACCTTTACGCATACACAACTACACTTATAATTTATTAAATATTAGATTTGGCACCAAAAATCGAAACGCGGACACTATAAATTAAAGCGTTTATTTTTGATTAGGAACGCAACGTAAATAGGAATTAGCTTGTTTTGATTCCCAAACTTTTAACTGAATTTTACATACAAAAGTATATTGAAGACAATTCTAAGATATATTTTAAATTTAACAACAAATACAAAAAAGAATGTGCAGTGCCACACCTTCAAACAAAATATTATATACGGATATGCTTACAACACAAACTCATAGCAGCTTTTCATAAATAAGACTTTTAAAAATGCTTGGTAAAACCTTTCCAAATTTATTTGCCACTTTTCAACATTGTTGCAAATTTGATTCTTGCATCAAATGCCCGCCCGCTGATCTTATTACCGTTCGTTCTACCATTTCAGCTTAACACGTGCTATGATTGTTGTTGTTGTTCTTTTCAAAACGCCTCATTAAATGTTGTGCAACATTAAGATTTGAATATATTGCGCGATCCTCCAAATTGTAGCATTATTTTGACAGAAACTGCCGAAAAATTGCGGCATTAGTTACTTTCAAATGTAAAATATTTCTGTTGTTTATGAAATTTTAAAAGTCTAAACAGTGTTGTTGAAAATCGCTCGATTATTAAGTGAAAGTAAAGAAAACAAATAATAATAACGGTAATTTCATTAATGCCTACATAATAAATAGTGCAAGTATTAAGGAATTTATAATAAGGGGAGCAAAAGGGGAGGGAGGGAACTTGCACACGAAATGTGTACAGTGGTGGTAAAAGTGTTTAGGCGTAATGAGAGGATTTAAGTTTAATGAATTATTTGTTCAATATTTTAAAAACATAAAAAAAAATATTTTAAACAAAATAAGTGAAAGAAGTAATCGGATGTGTGATATATGGAAAGACTTGGCCTTCATGAGATATACATATGTAAAAATATTATATATAAAAAAAGCGTCTTTGTAAAAAAAAAAGCTTAAAAATACGAAATTAATTTTATGAGCATCACAAGTTTTCTAGCACGACAGAGCTTCTCGAGATCTCGGCGAGCCCTGGTCAATAAACAACACTTGCGGTTTGTTAGATTTTTAGAATGCAAGATATCTATTGAACTGTTTACTAGGTTCTACACTGTTCAACAAGTTTAGAAGGCGCGAAAAGCTTTTTACATTTGTAAAAATTCGTGAAAGATATGACCCAAATGTAACTTTGATCTGCCAATGTTGTTAACTGAATCAATTTCATTTAACGATAACTCAACGAAATTTGTAAAGAAGAATTCGCGTTGTTTTCTAGCATTACTGCCTCTTGTGGCCTTCCCGAACAGGGTGCATTCTTTTTGATGGTACTGTGGCTGATTTGCCGTAGCACCTCTCAAGCCATTGATTTGCATTAAAGGTGTTCTTTTACATCAGCAAATAAGGTTTGCCAAAGTTGTAGAGATCCAGACACTATAAGGCCAATAACTTATGAACGATCGGCTCAAATATCTTGACACTTTGACAATATTCTAGTTCAGCTAAGTACTGTAAGACAAAAATAGAGAATTTTTAGTTGTGATTCAGCCCCGAGACCAAAGCTTACCTCACCAACTGCTCATTTTTGACTTTTTCTTTATTATGGCAGACCTCGGAATGGTTCTGGCATTATTATATAATTTTTGATTATTTTACCAATATTCCCCTATCCCAACGGGACATAGTCATATCACAAATGCACACCAGTATTCTTAAATATAAATTTAACTTTCTTCAAATAAGTCGCCTCTGGTTCAACTCGATTTGGATAGAACAGTTTGTATGGCAGCTATATGCTATGGTGATCGGATTTAAGAATATGTTCAGAGTTTGTAGCATTGACTTAGCCTAAAATCAGTGCAAAATATCGTGAAGATACCTTTCAAATAAAATCGTTTTCCATACAAGGGATTTAAGATATTTTGAACGGCCAGTTTATTTGCCAGCTATATGCTATAGTGCTCCGATATCGGGGTTTCCAACAAATGAGCAGCTTCTTGGGAATAAAAGGAAGGGAGTGTTATAAACTTCGTAGGAAACTTAACCTACCTTATACGGGGTAAAAAAATTTTCAACTAGGAAGGAGGTTTCACTTCCG